TGAATTTATAATGTCAAACAGCTGATGTGGCTCTAGAGTCGTTATGTTTATATGTCATAAAGTTGAATTTATTTATGCAGATTAGTGCAGATAGTAATAATGATGATGATCATTTTAATATAAAAACATTAATGATTAATCGATAATCGAACGTTAATTCTCCCGACGATCAATTAAGAAAATTTCATCGAATGCCCGTCACTAGGCTCCACACCTCAGCTCTGCATTTTTTCAACAGCACCGCCTCACCAAACCAATTTTCTGTGGGAAACTCTGATGACTGAGGAATATTAATATTATTGTTCAGAGACACGATCAGTCAGTCACAATAAAATATCCTCATTAATGTTCAACAATGAAAAAAATCCAAATTTATTTTGTCATTTATGAATAATGTCGATGGACTTTGACGCGAAGGTTTGTGACTTTTAAAATATGGATCCCCAGAAAAAAAAAAGTTTGGGAAACAAATAAACGTCCCGGCTCTTATTTGGTATTTTCCGGTATGATAAGACGTGGGGCAGCGCCTGTCCCTGTCAGGTCTGTGGAGCGGAGAGCACAACTCACTCACATCTCTGTTCAACTTTTATGTTTTAGTGAGTTTAACGCTGCTTTTCTCCAAAAACCAAACACACAGAGTTGTGTTTTTTTCAGTAAGTTTCGAGTCTGAGGGTCACAGCTTTTCCGTTTTACACCTCACCACAACTTCCTCTATTTTTACATTTTTCTTATCGACTTTTTCCACAAACTGTCACTTGACTGATGTAAAACGATGATAAATATTTAGTGGGCAAACGAGAAATGACAAAAACATCCTGTCGTTAATCTGTGGCTTTAATGACACTTTTACACTGTGTCAAAAAGCTGTTTCCTCATTCACACGTTTAACTCACAAACCTGCACATTTAGGTTCTGTTCTCAAACTCAAAACACTCTGTTCCACCCTGTGATGTCACGTGGTGATACAGGAAGTGCTCCACTGTGTTTTTAAACTCCACACACCTCACAAGAGTCAGGTTTGTGTGATACAGGAGCTTTAACCTACACTGTAAATTGCTGTACGCTGTAGTCTGTAGTTTGAGAAGAACCAGCTGAAAAGTCTCCATGAATTGTCTCTTTTATGAAACTAAATTAGTTAATCTAAAAAACTGAACATTTTTTGTCACTGTGCGGTTCAATTTTGGTTTAGTCCTCGGTTCAGTCCTAGTTTAGACCTAGTTTAGACCTGGTTTAGTCCTGGTTTAGACCTGGTTTAGTCCTGGTTTAGACCTAGTTTAGACCTGGTTTTAGACCTGTTTAGACCTGGTTTAGTCCTGGTTTAGACCTGGTTTAGTCCTGGTTTAGGCCTTATGTAGTCCTGTTTTTAGACCTGTTTAGACCTGGTTTAGACCTGGTTTAGTCCTGGTTTAGACCTGGTTCAGTCCTGGTTTAGGCCTGGTTTAGACCTGGTTCAGTCCTGGTTTAGCCTGGTTTAGACCTGGTTTAGTCCTGGTTTAGACCTGGTTCAGTCCTGGTTTAGACCTGGTTTAGACCTGGTTTAGGCCTGTTTAGACCTGGTTTAGACCTGGTTTAGACCTGGTTTAGGTTTAGACCTGGTTCAGTCCTGGTTTAGACCTGGTTTAGTCCTGGTTTAGACCTGGTTTCAGTCCTGGTTTAGACCTGGTTTAGACCTGGTTTAGACCTGGTTTTAGACCTGGTTTAGTCCTGGTTTAGACCTGGTTTAGACCTGGTTTAGGCCTGGTTTAGACCTGGTTCAGTCCTGGTTTAGACCTGGTTTAGACCTGGTTCAGTCCTGGTTTAGTCCTGGTTTAGACCTGGTTTAGACCTGGTTCAGTCCTGGTTTAGACCTGGTTTAGACCTGGTTTAGACCTGGTTTAGACCTGGTTTAGACCTGGTTCAGTCCTGGTTTAGACCTGGTTTAGGCCTGGTTTAGACCTGGTTTAGACCTGGTTCAGTCCTGGTTTAGACCTGGTTTAGACCTGGTTTAGACCTGGTTTAGATCTGGTTTATTGTCTGGCAATGAGTGGAATTACAGAAAAAAAAAAGGGATATAGCCCCAAATGTAAAAACAGGAAAATTCCTCTGTGTAATCCATTTATTTCAACAAAGTAACTGTAATCCAATTACTACTCATTGAAACAGTAACTAACTGAATACAGTTACTCATCATTTGTACTCTGATTACATAACTCCGGTACATGTAATCTGTTACTCCACAACACTGCTTGCAGGTGTAAATATGTATAAAAATGGGTGAGTAGAATCAGTTTCTACTGTTTTTATCATCTTCAGAACTTCACTAAACTCAGACCAAGTTTCTCCAACGCTGATCTAGAAATGATTGTTCACTCTTTTAATTCATCTCGTTTAGATTTCTGTAATTCTCTTTTTACTTGTTTTATCGCTTCTACATTTGTACAAAACGCAGCTGTGATATTTTTAACAGGAGCTACAGGAGAACTCACGTCGCACCAGTTTTATCTTCACTGCTCTGGTTTCCTGTTAAACTATGAGTTCATTGCTAAATCCTGGTTTGTACTTACAGAGTGTAGGTGACGATAATGTCTCTATATTTATTTTCAGGGTGATAAGTCAGAGGTGTCAGGACACCACAGTTATTCATTTGATATTTTCTTTGAAAAAACGATTTACCGTTACGTTCTGGAAATAAACAGAGTGAGAAATAGTAGCCACAAAAGAGAGAAATGACGATAGAGAGAAACATAGAAAAAGGTGTAAAGAAAAAGACGTCAAATTAAAGAAGCGTAACTTAACTCCTGCTGGTGATGTATCTGCAAACACTGTAAATCTACTGTTTTCTGCATTTATTTAAAGGTGTTTATGTAAATGTGAGGGGCCCAGTCAAGCAGAAGTAAACAACAAGACAAAAATTCAAGTTAATTCATCTGATATAAAAGTGTATTCAACAGATACATATGTACTCTAGTTTATCAAACTGTTGACCTTTTTTCTGTACCATTTTCCATCCGTTTTAAACAGACCATGAATGAAACATGGAACAAAAATTATTTCCCAAATTTCAAAGACCTGAAAATCATGTAAATAAATGTTTGTATTTCATCATATCTTGTGTTATTCCATCTTTGAACTGTTGATGAAGGGACAGGATTAAAAAAAAAAAAAAAGTATTTAAAATGATAAAAATGTTCTTGGAAGGACTGACATATTTTATAGAAATAGTTTCCTTTCATTTTGAAGTAATATTAAAGTTTTCAGAAGAAAAAAGCGACAAATGATGTAAAATCCTGCACCTTCTACTTGTTTGTACAATTTTCCCTCCGTTACTTTTCCCTCCGTTACCATGATCTTTCTTAATAAAAAATCTCATGAGTCAAAAAGTCAGAGGTTTTTCAACCTAATCTTGTACCATATGGTAGAAAACTATATGAAGCAAATATTCAAACCAGTTTGTTAAGGATATGGAAGTGAGAACCAAGAGTTTTCACTGTTTGGATTTATTGACCAAAAAGTGCTGCATATTTCATTCCCTCCGTTACCGACATGAGTTTTTAAATATTTTGTCAACAACTTGAAAAAATCTCACAGGTTTAACTTGACCCTGTTGGAGTGTAACTCTTTCCTACATTCTGATACTTTACTTATTTCAATAGTTCCTCTAGTTTCTGAATAAGAGACATTTGAATGTCAAAAATCTGTTTCCCTCCGTTACTGCTTGACTGGACTCAGAGACATTTTCTCTGTCTGTCCTGATTTGAGTTTTCATGGGGCAAACACCAGAGCAGCGACACAGAGCTTTAAACGAACAGGCCCCAGAACATCAGGGACTCACTGCCCCTACACCAAAAAACAGATTTAAAACTGGGGGGATGTGAACTTTCAGGCAGTGGCCCCCAAATTATGGAATGTCCCCGGGTTCGAGACAGACTCGGCTCTGTAGACGAGCTTTTAGTTGACAGAGTAATTCCTCTGTTCTTGTTCATGTTGTTCTTTGTTCTGTGAAGCACTTTGTCTTTTTTTTTAATCTGTGAAAGGTGCTGTATAAAGAAAGGCTGACTTACTGACTTAGAACTTAAACTCTAATGTGTCCCTGTCCAAACATGTGAGCACATAAACGCACAAAAATAAAACTTTATGTAAATGCAGATGTCACACGGAGCAGATCTGCCCAAAGCCACTCACGTCTGTTTATTCCAGAACATGTCTGGACTGTCAGTGTGTTTCAGGGTCCAGACTGTGAGGATGTCAGGATGTCAGACTCTCAGACTCTCAGACTCTCAGACTCTCAGACTCTCAGACTCTCAGACTCTCAGACTCTCAGACTCTCAGACTCTCAGACTCTCAGACTCTCAGACTCAGACTCGGGCAGGACACACGTTTGACTTTTGATCATGTTGAATTTTACCATGAAAATCTCCAAAAGAGAAATTCACGGCTGCAGTCATTTCTGTTTGTGATCAGACCCAAGTGTTGTTCCCTCTTCAGGAGATTTGTAACTCACATCATAAAAAATAAGCACTCGCCAAGATCCAGAATTTGCCTTTATCTATTTATTTTTAAAGAAAAAAAAAAAAAGTGATTGACTTTCAACAGATTTTTAGTGATCACAAAATAGTTTCTCTCGTCGTCTCGAGCCGCTGCTGCAGGAGCGGATAAACCTGATCAGGACGAACTCAAAGACATCAGGCCCAAATTTAATAATACATCAAAGTGAATTTTAATAAAACACAAATTCATCAAATTTATCATTTTTTAAATAGATATAAACTGGCTCTGACTCTCTGGCCCCTGATTGTTGTAGCTTTAGCAAAAACAATTACCATGTTTAAACAGTAGAGGGCGCCATCTGGGTCTCTGTAAGTGCTTATTTTTTATTACGTGAGTTACAAACCTCCTCAAACAAAAGAGCACAACACCAAGATCTCACCGTATTAGAACAGAAACCTGCAGTTTAACATCATTTAATCTGTATTAAATATTATTGTTTTATAGATCGTTGTGAGGACTGAACTCACTCTGACCTTTGTTTACGGCGATCGGCAAAACCAAGTGTCTGGAAATAACAGGAGGACTCGCGATGTCGGCGATTTCAACGAATCCAACAATCTCCAGATCTAAAAAACAAAAACAAAAAACATATTAAACATTAAACAGAACTGTAAATAACTCTGCAGAATCTCTGACGTGACGGAGTTGTTCTGATCCTGAGTCTGACCTGAGCTGACGCTTCGGGGCATCGGCTCCACCTCCTCGTCCACGATGATGGGCTCAGGACGAGGAAACACCTGAACGTCCGACGACAGGTTTCCACAGTGAAGGACGGCGTGGAACGGGGAGTAGGCGTGGTCGATCAGCTTTCTGTGATTTAAACCGGAACAGAAATCACAAACAAAAATACTTTAACAACAAAATAAAAGCCAAACAAATAAACACGTGAAACAAGAATCTAGACAGAAATGAAACAGGTTTTTAAAGGTTCTAATGTGGTTTCCTGGTCACACACAGACCTGGAGTTGGGTTTTGTTTCATTCACACGTTTAACACACTCTGTTCCACCTTGTGATGTCATCATGTGGTGATACAGAAAGTGCTCCACTGTGTTTTTAAACTCCACACACTAGAAGCACTAGAATCATTTGGATCATTTTTTCAGTCCTGGAGTTGCTGATCTCGACTGAACTAAAGGGAAAAGGAGCTGAGAACTTGAAAACTGCCACTTCATGACATCACAAGGTGGAGCAGAGCGTTTGGAGATGAAAACAAACTCATAATAAAGACTCAAACAAACACAACTCCAGCTCTGTGTGTGACCAGGAACACTAGAACATCAGAACATGGATTAAAGTTCAGAGTCAGTTTGACATAAACATACCGATTATGCAAATGTAGGATTTTTGTTTAGTGTTAAATTTGTGTTAAATTGTCACTTTTGGTTGTTAATTCTTCTTGTTTTCACCCAAACTCTCAAAAATACCAACACACTGTAGATCAGGGGTCTCCAACCAGTGCCTCTGGAGTTACGTGTAGCTCTCTCCACCTACAGGTAACTCAAAGTAACTCACCAAGGGATTTATGAATTATACTTATTGTGCTGAAAAAATAAAAAATAATTTAGTTCAAATGTCTGTTACCACTGTATAATTATTAACTATCTTTGTGCACTAATAAATGGATAATAATTGTGTTGATGTTTTATGGGCATCAAACTGTTCCCACATGAGGCTCTTTTCTTTTTTGTCGTCTAAACTGAGCAGCTCTGTGACGTTTTCGTTTGTCGAGGAGCTCAGCAGAGGAAAAGTGGTTGGAGACCTCAGCTCTGAGATCAAGTCTCACCCAAACATGGCCTGGACGCTCTTCATACACAACTGTCCCTCCACCGTGAAGATCTGCCCGTCTCCTCCACTCAGACGCAGAAGCTCCTCCAGGTTCTCCATCGAATCTGTCATCTGTAACTGTTACACACAAACACACAATCATAAACACACAAACACACACACACACACAATCATAAACACACACAAACATCGAATCTGTCATCTGTAACTGTTACACACAAACACACAATCATAAACACACAAACACACAATCATAAACACACAAACACACAATTATAAACACACAAACACACACACACACACACACATGTACACAAACACATAACACACACAAACATCGAATCTGTCATCTGTAACTGTAACACACAAACACACAATCATAAACACACAAACACACAATCATAAACACACAAACACACACACACACACAACACACACATGTACACAAACACACAACACACACAAACATCGAATCTGTCATCTGTAACTGTAACACACAAACAACACATCACAAACACACAAACACACAAACACACAAACACACAACACACACACACACACAACACACACATGTACACAAACACATAACACACACAAACATCGAGTCTGTCATCTGTAACTGTAACACACAAACACACAATCATAAACACACAAACACACAATCATAAACACACACATATGTACACAAACACACAATCATAAACACACAACACATGTACACAAACACACAACACACACAAACATCAAGTCTGTCATCTGTAACTGTTACACACAAACACACAATCATAAACACACACACAACACACACGTATGTACACAAACACACAACACACACATGTACACAAACACATAACACACACAAACATCGAATCTGTCATCTGTAACTGTAACACACAAAACACACAATCATAAACACACAAACACACAATCACACAAACACACAAACACACAACATCATAAACACACAAACACACACACAAACACACACATGTACACAAACACACAATCATAAACACACAAACACACACAACACACACATGTACACAAACACATAACACACACATGTACACAAACACACAACACACACAAACATCGAGTCTGTCATCTGTAACTGTAACACACAACACACAATCATAAACACACAAACACACAATCATAAACACACACAACACACACAAACACACGTACACAAACACACAACACACACAAACATCGAGTCTGTCGTCTGTAACTGTTACACACAAACACACAATCATAAACACACAAACACACACAACACAACACACACACATGTACACAAACACACAACACACACAAACACACACATGTACACAAACACACACAAACATCGAGTCTGTCATCTGTAACTGTTACACACAAACACACAATCATAAACACACAAACGCACACACACACACACAACACACACATGTACACAAACACACAACACACACAAACACACACATGTACACAAACACACAACACACACAAACATCGAGTCTGTCATCTGTAACTGTTACACACAAACACACAATCATAAACACACAAACGCACACACACACACACACACAACACACACATGTACACAAACACACAACACACACACACACGTACACAAACACACAACACACACAAACATCGAGTCTGTCATCTGTAACTGTTACACACAAACACACAAACACACAATCATAAACACACAAACACACACGTACACAAACACACAATCATAAACACACAAACACACAATCACACACACACACACACACAATCATAAACACACAAACAAACACACACACACAAACACACACATGTACACAAACACACAACACACACAAACATCGAGTCTGTCATCTGTAACTGTTACACACAAACACACAATCATAAACACACAAACACACAATCATAAACACACAAACACACACAACACACACATGTACACAAACACACAACACACACAAACATCGAGTCTGTCATCTGTAACTGTAACACACAAACACACAATCATAAACACACAAACACACAATCATAAACACACAAACACACACAACACACACATGTACACAAACACACAATCATAAACACACAAACACACACAACACACACATGTACACAAACACACAACACACACAAACATCGAGTCTGTCATCTGTAACTGTTACACACAAACACACAATCATAAACACACAAACACACAATCATAAACACAAAAACACACACACATACGTACACAAACACACAATCATAAACACACAAACAAACACAAACACACAACACACACAAACATCGAGTCTGTCGTCTGTAACTGTTACACACAAACATAAACACACAAACACACACACAATCATAAACACACAAACAAACACACACACACAAACACACACATGTACACAAACACACACAAACATCGAGTCTGTCATCTGTAACTGTTACACACAAACACACAATCATAAACACACAAACACACAATCATAAACACACAAACACACACAACACACACATGTACACAAACACACAACACACACAAACATCGAGTCTGTCATCTGTAACTGTTACACACAAACACACAAACACACACACACACACACACACACACAACACACATGTACACAAACACACAACAACACAAACATCGAGTCTGTCATCTGTAACTGTTACACACAAAACACAATCATAAACACACACACACAATCATAAACAACAAAAACACACACACATGTAACACAACACACAACACACAAACACACACATGTACACAAACACATAACACACACAAACATCGAGTCTGTCATCTGTAACTGTTACACACAAACACACAATCATAAACACACTAACGCACACATACACATGTACACAAACACACATATGTACACAAACACACAATCACATGTAAACGCACACATGCACACAAACACAGACACACAGTTGTAGTTTTTTCACACACAGTTGTAGTTTTTCACACACAGTTGTAGTTTTTCACACACACAGTTGTAGTTTTTCACACAACAGTTGTAGTTTTTCACACACACAGTTGTAGTTTTTCACACACACAGTTGTAGTTTTTCACACACAGTTGTAGTTTTTCCACACACAGTTGTAGTTTTTTTCACACACAGTTGTAGTTTTTCACACACACAGTTGTAGTTTTTTCACACACAGTTGTAGTTTTTTACACACACAGTTGTAGTTTTTTCACACACAGTTGTAGTTTTTCACACACAGTTGTAGTTTTTTCACACACAGTTGTAGTTTTTCACACACAGTTGTAGTTTTTTTCACACAGTTGTAGTTTTTTCACACACAGTTGTAGTTTTTTCACACACAGTTGTAGTTTTTTTCACACAGTTGTGTTTTTTTAGTTGTTTTTTTCACACAGTTGTAGTTTTTCACACACAGTTGTAGTTTTTTTCACACAGTTGTAGTTTTACCTCCTCTGCGTTGGCCACACACATCACGTAGAGTTTAGTCGGGAAAGGAAACGGCAGAGGGAACTTCTTGTCTTCTCCGTGGAGTTTGAGGGTTTGGAGCGAGTGACGGAGAGAACCTTTCCCGATCCCCAGAGAACCGTCGGTCACCAGCACCATCTGCTGGACACGAGCGGAATCACCACGAGGACGACAAACGTGTGAACGGACAAGGCTCAGAGTACATGAAGGTGACTTTTAAAATGTAATCCCCTACAGATTACAGATTACACACACCAAAATGTAGTTTGTAACGTAATCCATTAAATTATTTAAAGTGAGTAAAGTAATCTGAATACTTTGGATTACTTAATTTGCTGTAGAGAAACAAAGACGAGGAAATCTTCACATAAGAAGTTTTGTCTGATAAAAGAAAATAAAAAGCCCAAACTTTACTGAACCAAATTAAAAAATATTATTGATAGAAAACGAACAAACACGTCCACACAGCAGGATTTAGTCCTGTTAAATCCTGTTTGAGACATAGTTTAGACCTGGTTTAGTCCTGGTTTAGACCTGGTTTAATCTTGGATTAGTCCTTGTTTAGATTTGATTTTAGACCTGATTTTAATCCTGGTTTAGTCCTAGTTTAGACCTGGTTTTAGACCTGGTTTAGACCTGGTTTAGACCTGGTTTTAGACCTGGTTTAGACCCGGTTTTAGACCTGGTTTTAGACCTGGTTTAGACCTGGTTTTAGACCTGGTTTAGACCTGGTTTAGACCTGGTTTAGACCTGGTTTTAGACCTGGTTTAGACCTGGTTTTAGACCTGGTTTAGACCTGGTTTTAGAGTTTTAGACCTGGTTTAGACCTGGTTTAGACCTGGTTTTAGACCTGGTTTAGACCTGGTTTTAGACCTGGTTTTAGACCTGGTTTTAGACCTGGTTTAGACCCTGGTTTTAGACCTGGTTTAGACCTGGTTTTAGACCTGGTTTAGACCTGGTTTTAGACCTGGTTTAGACCTGGTTTAGACCTGGTTTAGACCTGGTTTAGTCCTAGTTTAGACCCGGTTTTAGACCTGGTTTAGACAAAGTTTTAGACCTGGTTTAGACCTGGTTTTAAACCTGGTTTAGACCTGGTTTTAGACCTGGTTTAGACCTGGTTTTAGACCTGGTTTTAGACCTGGTTTAGACCTGGTTTTAGACCTGGTTTAGACTGGTTTTAGACCTGGTTTTAGACCTGGTTTTAGACCTGGTTTAGACCTGGTTTAGACCTGGTTTTAGACCTGGTTTAGACCTGGTTTTAGACTTGGTTTTAGACCTGGTTTTAGACCTGGTTTAAGACCTGATTTAGCGTCCGGCAATGAGTGAAATTACCGAAAAAAAAGGAAAATCCCTCTGTGTAATCAATTTATTTCAACAAAGTAACTGTAATCTAATTACAGCTCACTGAAACAGTAACTGTAACTGAATACAGTTACTCATCATTTGTACTCTGATTACATAACTCTGGTACTTGTAATCTGTTACTCCCCAACACTGTACAAACTACAGTGTAATCACATTTATAGTGCAGGTTAAAGCTCATATTTACAGGTCGTGCTTTTATCTGCTCTCTTTTGTCCGACATCAGCCTCCACGCACTTTCTCTTTTACATTTGGTCCAAAATTCTGCTGCACGACTTTTAATTGGAACCAAAAAAAAAAAACGTGAGCACATTCCCCCAATTTTAGCATCTTTGCGTCGGCTTCCAGTTCATTTTAGAGTTGATTTTAAGATTGTATTATTTGTTTTTAAAGCTTTAAATGTTCTGGCCCCACGTCACGCCTCAAACCTGATCCAGATTTACTCCCCTGTGGAGTAAATCCAAATTAAATCGCAATTTCGATTTGTGTGTGTGTGACGATCTCCAAACTCAGTTCAGATTTGTAGCCGATATTTATTTTCAATTTGAAAGTTTTGCGTGTTTTGTTGAGAGAGAAATGTTGAATAATATTTTTTTCAATAATTAACCCAGATATTGAGAAACAAAATTTTTGGCCCCATTTACCACAATGTTAACTAAAATTTCAAAGTGATCCAGAATCCAGGATTTCTTCCGGATCAGCCCCAAAATGAAATCACTTCTTCCTTTTCACATTTCCAACAAATCCTGAAAATTTCATCAAAATCGGTCCATAACTTTTTGAGTTATGTTGCTAACAGACAAACAAACAAACAGACAAACAAACAAACAAACAGACAAACAAACAAACAAACAAACAGCAAAAACATAACCTCCTTGGCGGAGGTAATAATTTGCAACGACCCATAAATAAACTATGTCTGCTCAAGAACTCTGAAATATTAGTTGAGAAACTTCAGATCTTCTGTTTGACTTAAATTGGTCTAAAATCATTTGATAATGAAAATATTGCCTATTTTTTAAATTGACTTGGCGCCCTCTACTGTTACAAAATGGTAATTGTTTTGCTCAGAGCCAGTTTATATTTATTTAAGAAATGATTAATTTGATGAATTTGTGTTTTATTAAAATGCACTTTTCTGTATTATTAAATTTGGGCCTGATGTATTCGAGTTCGTCCTGATCAGGTTTATCTGCTCCTGCAGCAGCAGCTCGAGACGACGAGAGAAACTATTTGGTGATCAGTAAAAATCTACTGAAAGTCACAGAGAATATCATATTTTTTATTCTTTAAAAATAAATAGATTCTGGATCTCTGTGAGTGTTTATTTTTAATTATGTGAGTTACAAAAGGGAAAAACAACCTGCACTAAATATTTATCATCGTTTTGCATCAGTCAAGTGACAGTTTGTGGAAAAAGTCGATAAGAAAAATGCAAAAATACAAAAATACAGGAAGTTGTGGTGAGAAAAGAAAAGCTGTGACCCTCAGACTCGAAACTTACTGAATAAAAAACATGACTTTAGGAGTTTGTTTTTTGGAGAAATGCTCACTAAACTCACTAAAACCTTTTCCTTTTGGCTGAAGCTGCTCTGATTCTTGCTGACGTCATGAGAGTTGGACAGAGATGTGAGTGTGTTGTGCTCTCCGCTCCACAGACCTGACAGGGACAGGCGTTGCCCCACTCCTGCTGCACCACGTTACTGACGCCGTGAAGCGCCGACTCAAAACACGTCTTATCATAATCCTCCAGATTACTCAGAGCCTCCTGCGAACACAACAGAGCGGTACAATTTAAAACATTTACACACAATTTTATTTAAACATCACTTTTTATTGAATCACTTTTGAATCTGCTCAATCTCACAAAACGACTCTGAGATTTAAACGTGTTCTAATGTTCCTCCTCAAACAGAGCTGGAGTTGTGTTTGTTTTTGTGTGTCTTTATTCTGAGTCTGTTACATCTTCAAAGCTCCAAACGCTCTGTTCCACCTTGTGATGTCATGAAGTGGTCGGGTCTTTTTTTTTTTATGTTCTCAGCTCCTTTTCCCTTTAGTTCAGTCGAGATCGGCGACTCCAGGACTGAAATGATCCAGATGATTCTAGTGAAGGTGTGTGGAGTTTAAAAATACGGTGGAGCACTTCTTGTATCACCACATGATGACATCACGAGGTGGAACAGAGTGTTTTCAGTTTGCAGGGTTTATGTGACTCCAGGTCCGAGCGCGACGAGGAAACGACCCGAGAACAGAGTCGTGTGTGACCTTTAACCTTTAACACTCGCAGGAACAAATATTCAGAGTTTCACTTTTATCTGTCGTGTTTTTTGGACCTACAGACGCGAGAGAAGATTTAGATTAGAATATTTATATTATTATCATTATTCAAGTTCAGCAGACCGAATTAAAAAGATTAAAGGGCCGCATTTGGTCCCCGGGCCGTAGTTTGTCCACCCCTGGTCTATGTAGTTCCTCTGTGTTTTTTTTATTTGTTTCTGCACCAGAACTCTTCATTTAAACAAAGAGATGTTGTGATACGATATATTGTGATGATCCACGATATTATTGTGAGAACTTTGACGCTACGATATCACGATATTTCGGTTATTGTTACATCCATAATTAGAACAGATCAGAGCAGAGGATTGTGGGAGTTTGAGTTTCAGTATAAACGACAATAGAACAGAACATTAGAGCAGAAAACTACAGAAGCCGAGAGGGGTCACAACAAACGCAAACGCCGCAACAAATACAAAACCACCAAAAAAAGCCACAACAAACCAAAAAAAGCCACAACCAAAAAAAGCCACAACACACCAAAAAAGCCACAACACACCAAAAAAAGCCACAACACACAAAAACCAAACACCAAAAAAGCCACAACACACCAAAAAAAAAAAAAGCCACAACACCAAAAAAAAAAAGCCACAACAACGTGAAACGGTCCGTCAGAAAATAGAGTCCCGCGGTCACTTCCGTTGTGGCTTTTTAATGTGTTGCGGCTTTTTAATGTGTTGTGGCATTTGCGTTTGTGTTGTGGCGTTGGTATTTGTTGTGGCGTTTGCATTAAAATAGAGTCCCGCGGTCATTTCCGTTGTGGCTTTTTTTGGTGTGTTGTGGCTTTTTTGGGGTTGTGGCTTTTTAATGTGTTGTGGCATTTGCGTTTGTTGCGGCGTTTGCATTAAAATAGAGTCCCGTGGTCATTTCTGTTGTGGCTTTTTGTATTTTTTGAGGCGTTTGAGTTTGTCGTGGCCCCTCTCGGCTTCCGTAGAAACTGAATCTAGGCCGTTTAAAAGTAAATCAACTGAACACAAAGGAAAGAACATGAGGGGACAAAGAGACTGAATTATTTAAATTAAAATGGTTTGTGCCACGGTCGTCTCTCCTGTGTTAAACCCCTGTGCCCACCTGCCCCCCTGTGCCCCCCCCGTACCCACCTGCAGAGCATTGTAATCCCGGGTGAACGGCACCAGCAGCTCCCACAGCGAGGAGAAGGCCATGAGCGCGGTGAACTCCAGGCGGTAGTTGGAGGCCATGTGTTCAAAGAGCATGTTGAGCCCGTGCACGGCCAGGTTCTTCCTCTGAAACTCCTCGCTGCCGTCCTGCGCCACGGGACGCGTCATGGACAGAGACACGTCCATCAGCACCACGGTGGGCATGGTCCTGCGGCGGGACGACGGGGACACGGGCGAAACACAAACGATTCACAAACACACGAGCCAGAAACACGGAGACACTGTGGAGGAAAAAAAACACAATTTAGACTTAATTAGATTTAGATTTGTTCACAGGAGTCACACGTCACAATATAAAATAATAACAAAGAGTAAAAAATATAAATGGTGATAATAAATTCTAAATAAGTAAAAAAAAAAAAAGAGCAAGAGACGGGAGTGAAATAAAACATAATTATATAAATGTAAATGTACAAGTCAAAATAAAATAGAAAAATAAGTAATAAAATCTCAGGAGACCAGATTTATCCGGGACAGTCCCAGTTTTGAGCAGATATATACAAAAACACTGATTTGTCCCAATTTTATACAAGAAATTTCCAGGACTAAAACAAGACTAAACCAGGTCTAAACTAGAACTAAAACGGGACTATATCAGGTCTAAACCAGGACTAAATCAGGTCTAAACCAGGACTAAACCAGGACTAAACCCAGGACTAAACCAGGTCTAAAACAGAACTAAAAAAGGACTACATAAAATCTAAATTTAGATTAAAAAAGGATTACATTAGGTCTAAACCAGGACTAAACCAGGTCTAAACTAAGACTAAACCAGAACTAAAACCAGGACTAAACCAGGATTAAAACAGAACTACATCAGGTCTAAACCAGGACTAAACTAAGCGTAAACTAGGACTAAACCAAGACTAAACCAGGTCTAAAAAAGGACTAAACTAGGACTAAAACAAGACTTCATCAGGTCTAAACTAAGACTAAACCAGGTCTATCACAGTTTTTGACTAATCTGATCCCGCCAACAGAACAGAGGAGCATAAATTGTGATTTGTTTTGCCAAAACACACAGATCCGTGTTTGTGAGGAACAAATAAAGCCCAAAAAAGTCCCTCAGATTCTCTCCGACACTGACGCTCTTTTCACTATTTTATTTACACCAAACACCCAAACCTGAGCGTGCCCCAGTTTCTGACTCTGATAACCTGCTCCTTAAACGATCTTAGACTGAAAAACGAGAAAATATCAAACTGAGAGTTAAAAATGTGGAAGAAATAAACAAATAAAACAAAACAGACGCAGATTTTACACGGACCCACCGGAAACGGCACTTTTCAATTAAACCTCGTCCCTGCGCGATGCTGCCGCTCTTCAAATAACACAGTTACACTCGTTTTGGTTTTATACGTTTGCTAAAGTGAGAGTTTAACTGTACGGTGTTAAAAAAGAGAATAAAAACACATTTCCACGCGTTTGTGCGCCTTTGTTTACTCCTCCGAGTGAACGCCACGATTCTGTTCCGACTAGAAACGGTTTATTCTGCAAAACGTTCCGCGTTGATTCGTTTTGCAGATTTTCTTTCTAAACGTCGACTCCAGGAAATGTTTCCTCCTAAAAGTGTTCAGAGGATTTATCTGAATTTAGATTGAATTGAGATTAAGATTGAGATTTGTTTAAGAGTTTCGGTTTAAAAACAACGCTCTTATTTGTTTTGTCCACGGGGGGCAGAGAAGAGCTGTTTGACTTCAACATCTGCAAAAAACTACACGCCTTAAGGTAGGACTTTTCACAACTGTCTCCTTCTTCTTAGCAAAAGTCTCATAATTTTCCATCCAGGACCCGGAAAGTTGCATAAAAAGTTTAGTAGTTGTTTTTGTGTCGATCCAAACGCGCGGAGGAGGTTTTTTCAGCTCATCTAAAACTGTCTGCTGATGTTTTTGTCAATTTTTTTCCAGTAAAATGATGTAAATTCTGTTTCTGAGCAGTTTCCACGAGCCGCCTCTTCTTTTAGACTTTGCACTTTAGTGTTTTAAGGTTTTGAAACGCTGTGCATCTGTGTCATGTGTGACCAATGTGCAGTGTTGGGGAGTAACAGATTACATGTACCAGAGTTACATAATCAGAGTACAAATGATGAGTAACTGGATTCAGTTACAGTTACTGTTTCAGTGAGTGGGAATTGGATTACAGTTACTTTGCTGAAATAAATGGATCACACAGCGGGATTTTCTTGTTTTCACATTTGGGGCTGTATCCCCCTTTTTTTTTTTTTCCAGGAATTCCACTCATTGCCGGAAACTAAACCAGGTCTAAACCAGGACTAAAACCAGGTCTAAACTAGATCTAGACTAGATCTAAACCAGGTCTAAAACCAGGTCTAAACCAGGACTAAAACCAGGTCTAAACTAGATCTAGACTAGATCTAAACCAGGTCTAAAACCAGGTCTAAACAAGGACTAAACCAGGACTAAAACAGATCTAAAACCAGGTCTAAACCAGGTATAAACCAGGTATAAACCAGGACTAAACCAGGACTAAACCAGGTCTAAAATAGATCTAAAACCAGGTCTAAACCAGGACTAAACCAGGACTAAAACCAGGTCTAAAACCAGGTCTAAACAAGGACTAAAACAGGACTAAAACAGGACTAAACAGGACTAAACAGGACTAAAACCAGGTCTAAACAAGGACTAAAACAGGACTAAACCAGGACTAAAACCAGGTCTAAACAAGGACTAAAACAGGACTAAACCAGGACTAAACCAGGTCTAAACAAGGACTAAAACAGGACTAAAACAGGACTAAACCAGGACTAAAACCAGGTCTAAACAAGGACTAAACCAGGACCAAAACAGGACTAAACCAGGACTAAACCAGGTCTAAACCAGGTCTAAAACCAGGTATAAACCAGGACTAAACCAGGTCTAAACCAGGTCTAAAACCAGGTATAAACCAGGACTAAACCAGGTCTAAACCAGGTCTAAACCAGGTCTAAACCAGGTCTAAAACAGGATTTAACAGGACTAAATCCTGCTGTGTGGACGTGTTTCTTCGTTTTCTATCAATAATATTTTTAATTTGGTTCAGTAAAGTTTGGACTTTTCATTTTCTTTTATCAGACAAAACTTCTTATGTGAAGATTTCCTCGTCTTTGTTTCTCTACAGCAAATCAAGTAATCCAAAGTAATCAGATTACATTACTCACTTTAAGTAATTTAATGGATTACGTTACAAACTACATTTTGGTCTGTGTAATCTGTAATCTGTAGGGGATTACATTTTAAAAGTAAACTTCCCAACACTGTCCACATGTTTGTGATGTGTGAGAGTGAAGCTGCTCTGTTCTCTGGTGTTGTTGTATAATCCTGTGTTCTGATCATTTTACAGAGACTTTACTGTGGTGAGAGACGTAAACAAACAGGATGAAGTGGAAACCTAAGTGCTTTTTCCTTTACGCCATGTTCCTGTGCGTGTTCGGCGCCGGATCCAACGACGTGATCACGGAAAACCCAAATAAAAGCCCAGACGAGGACGACACTTCCATCCAAGAGCTGCACCCCCCGTCCGCCCAGACCACCGCCCAGACCACGCGAGAAACCAACTTCTTACGCGACCTGGACACGCAGCCCGAAGACTCCACCACCCCCAGCGCTCCTCGGCCCACCACCGTCTCCCGCGAGACGTTCAAGACCACCGACGCCTCCACCTCTGCTCCTCCGGCGACGACGCAGCCCCCGAGAGCGGCGGAGAGGTTCCCCGCGGACTTGTTCTCGGTGGAGGAGCTGAGGAGAGGCTGGGTGCTTTTACACGTCGCCGGGATCGTCTACGTGTTCGCGTCCCTGGTGATTCTTCTGCGGGAGTTTTTCGTCCCTGCGCTCGGAGTGATCGCAGATGTTTTCGGCTTATCTCAGAGCGTGGCGGGGGCGACCGTCGTGGCGGCCGCCTGTTCCACCCCCAGATTCTTTGCGTTCTTCGCGGGGCTCTTCCTGACGGGGGAGAAGCCGGGGGTGGACGCCATCGTGGGCTCGGCCGTCTTCAACGTCTTGTTCGTGACGGGGACGTGCGCTCTGTTTTCTCGTGAGGCGCTCCGCTTGACCTGGTGGCCGCTCTTCAGGGACGTGTCCTTCTACGTGCTGGACCTGATCCTCCTCGTGCTCTTCCTCCTGGACGGCGTGATCCTGTGGTGGGAGAGTCTGATGCTGGTGGGCGGCTACTGTCTGTACGTGGTCTTCATGAAGTACAACGTGCAGATCGAGAGGTTTCGTGAAGGGCCTCCTGCACAGACACAGAGGAACGGTGATCGCCATGAACGAGCACGGAAAGGTGAGTTTACTCGGAGAAAATACAAACACACGCTGACTTCTGTGAAGGTTTAGGTCAAAGTGGATGTTCTTCTGTCTGTTTGGACTCTGTGGAACGTAAACGATCTGTTTCCCACAACAGAACTTAGAAATATTATTATTCTGACTCACGGGATCTTCAGGTTTGATTTTGTTTTTGTTTTTTTTGATCACACGTCAAAGTTTATCTCAGTCACTTTGTCTTTGAAATACAAGACCAAACCACTTTATTTTTATAACACATTTCATAAACAAAACATTTTTTTTTTATTAAATTAAAAACAACAGAATAAAACATTTAACAAAATATAATAATCAACACAAAAACAAAACACAAAATTGTAGAGCAACACCCACCACAAATTCTCTTATATATCGATATTTTGGCCAGTTGATTTTTCTTCTCATTTTTTAATTAACATTTTTAGTCACATAACTAACTAAAATTCCTTTCATCATTATTTACTATTTCTTACAATCATAAAGCATCATTTTAAAGGCATTTCTTTTTTCTCTCCCCCCTTTTTAATTTTTTTATTATTATAATTATTACAACAATAATAATAATGTAATAATAATGTGTTTGTAATTTATATATATATATATTTTTTACTGTAAATAATGAATTGTCTTTGTTTTAAGGATTATCTGTTTCCCTTATTAACTACATTTAAGTCGCTACTTTAAATCCTGATGACTGAATATATATATATATATATATATATATATATAATATATATAATATATAATCAATTTTCCATATGGATAAATATAAATATTAATATGAAATTCTATGTCATAATTTCAACAAAACCCAAACCATAAACAAAAACAGCTTCCAAAGTTCTGCACAAAACAAATAAAACAAATCCAATAGAAATATAAAATAAACTCGAATTAACTCCACTTGTCTTCGTTAAAACAAGAAAACTAGTAAAATCAAATAAGAGCAAGAACCAAGACAAAATGAATAAACCAATAATTCATAAAGAGTCAAACTTTAACTTCTTGGTTTCTTTTTTAAAGAGTAAAACCATCGCAAGCAGCAGACTTAAACATCAACAAGATAAATCCACTTTACTGTACTGACTTTAAAAAAAGAACCCACGAAGTTAAAGTACAGAAGAAAACAAAATCTATCAGTGAAACTTTATTTGTACAATGAATTTTCATACATTTGAAATGAAGCACGAAGAGCTTCACCTGCGACAGAAAAATTATAATGATTAAAAATAAAACAGCCCCCAACTCAGAGATTCATCCATAAAAACAGACGTTTAAACAGAAACATAAAACATAAAGCTCCTCAAAAAAATAAAAAATAAAAATGGAAGTCTAAATTAGATTTAGACTAAATAAAATAATAATAATAGTAATTAAATTTAAAACTAATATAATAATTTAATTAAAAGCTAAACTGAACTAAATCTGAACACCTCAGACTTTGACATTATTTGGTAAATAATGTAAAAATCTCGTCTTAAAAAGATTCAGTCTATCTTCAAAATATTACAAGATGCTACCACAGAGAAACACACTGCATATGAAGGAGAAATGGGAATTAGAAATGAACACAATAATTAAGGATGAGGACTGGGATCGGACACTTCGGGAGGGATATAAAATTACAAACAGCCCAGTACTAAATGAATTTGAATGGAAAACTAAAATTAGATTGTTTAGAACTCCGTTTATTACATGTCAGTTTGGTGGAACCTCAGATAAGTGCTGGAGGGGCTGTGGTCTGGTGGAGGATCATTCCCATATATTCTGGGATTGTCCTAAACTGACAACATTTTGGAGGGACGTGCAATGTGAAATTGAAAACTGTTTGGGGATCAGAATTATATTAGAGCCATGTCTTGTTCTGTTGGGAATTTTTCCAAACGACTTAAGAACAAATAGCCATTTTCATTTGTTAAAAATTTTACTTTTAATTGCAAAAAAAATGATAACGGTCTCCTGGCTCAGGCCACTGCCCCAGAATCACCCAGTGGAAAAATAAAATAAAGGATAGATCATATGGAGCAAATAACTGCAAGGTTACAAATGAAGACAGATTTATTCATGGACAAATGATCTTCAGTTCAGGCCGATATTTCAAAAGGATGATGATCTTTTGTAGGATTTTTGTTGTAGTGTGTGTGTGTGTAGATGATGAATGATGAATGAGGAGACTGTGTGTGACTGTATCTATACTGTCACTTTATTGTCATTTTCATAATTATGTGGCTTGCACCAAAATTATTTAATAAAAACAAGTTAAAAAAAAAAAAAAAAAAAAAAGATTCAGTCTCGTCTCGTGTCTCGTCTCGTGGACTTCGTCTCTCGTCCTTCGTCTCTCGTCCTTCGCCCGATAAACTCTGGACGTAAACGTTTCTACCAAAGGTTTAAACTCGTGTCTTGTGCAGGAGGCGGTGGGCGACGGCTCAGACGAAGCTTCTCGAAACCACACTGGGAGCCACAAAGACGTGAGGCGCTCGGGCTCTGAGCCGGAGGAGCCGGTCGAGACCGGAGCCGAGGTCCCGGAGGAGCTCCGACCTCTGACCCTGCGCTGCCCCGCGACCCGCTGCGCCCGCCTGCTGCACCTGCTGCACCTGCCGCCACTGCTCCCTCTGTGGATCACCCTGCCCGACGTCCGCAAACAGGTACCACGCAAACTCTAAACTCTATAACTCTAAACTCTACTCTAAACTCTAAACTCTAAAATCACCCTGCCCGACGTCCGCAAACAGGTAACACGCAAACTCTAAACTCTATAACTCTAAAAAACTCTAAAGTCACTCTGCCCGACGTCCGCAAACAGGTAACACACAGACTCTAAACTCTATAACTCTAAACCTCTAAACTCTATAACTCTAAAACTCTAAACTCTGAAATCACTCTGCCCAACATCCACAAACAGGTAACACACAAACTCTATAACTCTAAACCTCTAAACTCTTTAACTCTAAACTCTAAAACTCTAAAACTCTAAAATCACTCTGCCCGACGTCCGCAAACAGGTAACACACAAACGCTAAAACTCTAAACTCTAAAACTCTGAAACTTTGAAACTCTAAAACTCTGTAAAATCACTCTGCCCAACGTCCGCAAACAGGTAACACGAAGACTCTAAAACTATAAACTCTGTAACTCTAAACTCTAAACCTCTAAACTCTTTAACTCTAAACTCTAAAACCCTAAAACTCTAAAATCACTCTGCCCAACGTCCGCAAACAAGTAACACACAAACTCTAAACTCTAAAACTCTAAAATCACTCTGCACGACGTCCGCAAACAGGTACCACACAAAATCTGAAACCCTCAAACTCTAAACCCTAAGACTCTAAAACTCTAAAACTTTAAAACCCTAAAACTCTAAAACTCTAAAATCACTCTGCCCAACGTACGCAAACAGGTAACACGCAAACTCTAAACTCTAAAACTGTAAACTCTATAACGTCTTCTGGGTTCGGTCACTCGGGTCACTCGGGTCACGCGGGTCACTCGGGTCACTCGGGTCACTCGGGTCACTCGGGTCACTCGGGTCACTCGGGTTTGTCTCTGTGGAGTGTGGATGTTCTCCCTGAGTCTGTGTGCGTCTCAGGTTCATGCTGCAGCTCTGAGATCCTCCAGCTGAAGATCTCAGTCCCAGGAGCAGAGGACAGGACACAGTGACCCTCCAAATTCACTTTAAACTTCATTTGTTTTTGTTTTTTTTGTTTTTTTTGTTTTTTTTTTTTTTTTTCGTAGGATTCCCGGAGGTTCGTGGTTCTGTCTCTGCTCGGGTCCCTGGTCTGGATGAGCCTCTTCCTGTACCTGATCCAGTGGTGGACTCATAAGGTCAGAACCTCAGAACAACTGACATGTTCACATGAGAGATTGAAACACAAATAAAAATAATTTAGTTCTGAATAAAAATGAATTCCTTTTTAAAAAAGTCCATGTAAACACTTAATTCTTATTGAAAATGATGATTCAGAATTAAACTTAATTCTGAAGGAAGTGTTTGGTTTAACTCTGATTTTAGAGCTGAATTGATTTATTCCTGGATCAAATAAACCAGGGGTCATCAAACTAAAGCCTGTGGAAGTTTATTATTATTTATTATTTTATAGACAAATGAAGAGAGACACAAATAGTTTTGAACAAAGCCACTAGAGGGCGACAGAGACACTTCACTGATCCTGAGGGAAATTCAAGTTTTGCTGCATCGAACTGTTCCAGTTTTTACTACCCTTTTTTTTTTTTTTTTATAATTTAGTGAAATTGATCGATCGAGCTCCAGTATTTAACATAAATAAATGAAGCCCTCAGACCTTTGTTTTATTTGTAACTGGACCAAATAAAGTCCCTCCTGACCACTGTGGGTCAATTACAAAAAAAATAAAAATTGCTCAAAAATAACTTCATTTTTCCTGTGAGTCGGCCGCTCCACTGATCTGACCTGTAACTATAGGAACAGATGCGTTTAATGCCGCACTGTGAAACTTTGGTGACAGAACCAGGACGTGTAAACTGTGATCATATAAATATACTGATTTTTTTGGACTGTAAGTTGCTGCCAAAAAAATGCAGAATGAAGGAGAAGAAAACACATAAGTCAGACTTTTTGGGCAAAATTTCTTTGATAAAATGAGAGATCAGGAGCCAACATTTCCTGTTTTCAGTGAAGTTGTAGTAAAAACAACAGAAGAGAGAAGAACAGACTGTTAATGTCACATATTTCACAGTTCTTCAGATAAACTATAAACAACAGAACAGAACAAGTTTGAACAAACTCTCCTGTCTCACTCCAAATCACTAAATCACTTCAGTTCTTCATCCTCGTGTCACTTCTGAACAACTCGACCTCGACCTCCGGAGGGAAACAGAGCCACACAAACTCTTCTGTGTCGCTGTCGTCAGACTCAGACTCTGCTCCAGTTACAATGATCCGGGTCTTTCTGATCCGTGTGTCGTTCGTTCATTCCTTTTTCAAAATAAAACCAAAAATAAGAAAACAAAAAACAATGATTTTCTTGACAGCGATTTGGGTTTTTTTCAGTTTTCAATTTTGTTTTTAAGTGAAGAATGAAAAAAAAAAAAGATAAAGGCCAGGTTTCAGGACTGTTAGGACTAGGACTAACCAGGACTAAACCAGGACTCTAAAAGGACTAAACCAGGCCAGGACTAAACCAGGACTAAACCAGGACTAAACCAGGACTAAAACCAGGTCTAAACCAGGACTAAACCAGGACTAAACCAGGACTAAACCAGGACTAAACCAGTACTAAACCAGGACTAAACCAGGACTAAACCAGGCTTAAAACCAGGACTAAAACCAGGATTAGAACCAGGACTAAAACAGGACTGAAACAGGTCCAGGACCAGACTGTTACCAGACTGTGATTGAGACAGGACCAGACTCGGATTGAAAACAGTTAGTCCTGTTTTAGTCCTGGTTCCTTTAGTCCTGGTTCAGTCCTGGTTCAGTCCTGGTTTAGTCCTGGTTTCTGGTTTAGTCCCCAGTCCTGGTTCAGTCCTGGTTTAGTCCTGGTTTCCTGGTTTAGTCCTGGTTTAGTCCTGGTTTAGTCCTGTTTTAGTCCTGGTTCAGTCCTGTTTTAGTCCTGGTTTAGTCCTGTTTTAGTCTTGTTTTAGTCCTGGAGAATAAGTCACAGGAAACACACAAACCACCAACAATAGTCACACTTATCGTCTGAAAAATACAGTAAACATCATTGTTGTTGTTGTTGTTGTTGTTGTTTGTTGTTCAGGTGGCAGAGACCGTGTTCGTCCCGGATCACGTCCTGGAGCAGGCGAGCGCTCAGGTGAACCTCCCCGTGCTCCTCACGGCTCTGATCACGACTCGCCGCGGTCTGGGCGCCATGGCGACCTCCATCGCTTTAGGGAGCAACATCTACGAGGTCACGCTGGGGTAAGACCGAGGTTTTAAACTTAGATTTAGACAAACTTTATTGATCCACATGGAAATGATCTGGACACAGGAGTCACACGTCACAATAAAATATAAAAACAAAGAGTAAAAATATAAATGTAATAATAAATTCTAAATAAGAAGCAAAAAAAAGCAAGAGTCACATAAAACATAATTATACATCTGGGCCCAGTCAAGCAGAAGTAAACAACAAGACCAAGTAGAAAAGCAGTGAGAGAGGACGACAAGGACCACCCCCATTTTTATATAAATTGCGATAAAATCAGTCTTGCTGGATCAGATCTGGATCAGCCTTTGGAATATGAAAGAGGATCCCATTGTCCATCCCTGAGTCAAATTTCATGGGGTTTGGTCAATAATTAACCCAGATATTGAGAAACAAAATTTTTGGCCCCATTTACCACAATGTTAACTCAAATTTCAAAGTGATCCAGAATCCAGGATTTCTTCCGGATCAGCCCCAAAATGAAATCAGTTCTTCCTTTTCACATTTCCAACAAATCCTGAAAATTTCATCAAAATCGGTCCATAACTTTTTGTGTTATGTTGCTAACAGACAAACAAACAAACAAACAAACAACAAACAGACAAACAAACAAACAAACAAACAGACAAACGCCGGCAAAAACATAACCTCCTTGGCGGAGGTAAAAATTTAAGTTAATTCATCTGATATAAAACTGTATTGAACAGATACATATGTACTCGAGTTTATCAAACTGTTGACCTTTTTTCTGTTCCATTTTTGGTTCTAAAGTTCCATCTGTTTTAAACAGACCATGAATGAAACATGGAACAAAAATTATTTCCCAAATTTCAAAGACCCAAAAATCATGTAAATAAATGTTTGTATTTCATCATATCTTGTGTTATTCCATCTTTGAACTGTTGATGAAGGGACAGGATTTTAAAAATATATATATATTTAAAATGATAAAAATGTTGTTGGAAGGACTGACATATTTTATAGAAATAGTTTCTTTCATTTTGAAGTAATATTAAAGTTTTCAGAAGAAAAAAGCGACAAATGATGTAAAATCCTGCACCTTCTACTTGTTTGTACAATTTTCCCTCCGTTACTTTTCCCTCCGTTACCATGAACTTTCTTAATAAAAAATCTCATGAGTCAAAAAGTCAGAGGTTTTTCAACCTAATCTTGTACCATATGGTAGAAAACTATATGAAGCAAATATTCAAACCAGTTTGTTAAGGATATGGAAGTGAGAACCAAGAGTTATCACTGTTTGGATTTATTGACCAAAAAGTGCTGCATATTTCATTCCCTCCGTTACCAACATGAGTTTTTTAATTTTTTGTGAACAACTTGAAAGAATCTCACAGGTTTAACTTGACCCTGTTGGAGTGTAACTCTTTCCTACATTCTGATACTTTACTTATTTCAATAGTTCCTCTAGTTTCTGAATAAGAGACATTTGAATGTCAAAAATCTGACCCTGTTTCCTCCGTTAACACTTGACTGAACCCAGATGTAAATGTACAAGTCAAAATAAAATAGAAAAGTAATAAAATATAAAATCTCAGTTTTATACAAGAGGTCATAATGTTCTTCTTAAACACAAATACAACAGTGTGATTTCTACAAAGAATCTGACCCCAGAACATTTTCACATTTCACATTTGATCTGAGTGTGAAGTCAGAGTCAAGACGGAGACAAACAGAACGTTTGAAGGAGCGTCGTGTTTCTGTGGAGGAGAAAATCTGCATTTATTTAATTTGACACTGTTTTAGCCGAGCCTCACCCTCTGCCCCTGTGCCTTTGAGCATCACTCTGTATGACGAGAGAAAAGGTTCAATTCTGGTTCAGTCCCAGATTACAGCATAAAACACAAACAGTTCTGAGCGTCAGTGTAAATGAGACACAAAATGCAAAGGCCAAACAGAACAACATTAAAACAATAAAAGACAAATATATAAACAAACACTTGGCTCAGTCTGTTTCACGTCTGTGTGTTTAGGAGCCGAAGTTCAAAGGGAATAAAGGAATTAGCAAATCTTTGTTTTCCTGCTGGAGGCAAAGTGTTTTTTGCAGCAGAATCTGTGTTTATAAAAACATGATCACAGTAACTGGACGAGAGTCGTGTTAAATCAGACTGGCAGCCTCTGTTCTGTCCGTCTGTCCCAGGGCGGCTGTGGCTGCAGTAGAGACCAGAGTGTGAGTGAAGAAAAGTGTAAAGTGTCTCTAGAGTTTGAAAAGACGCAGGATAAAACCCACCGCTTTATTATGATTATTTTATTTGTTAGAACACACTTTAACTCCTCACTGTCCTCCCCGTGTCTCCTCCCTGTGTCTCCTCCTCGTCCTCCTCGTCCTCCTCGTCGTCCTCCTCGTCTCTCCTTGTCTCTCCTCATCCTCCGCATCCTCCCTGTGTCTCCTCTTCGTCCTCCCTGTCCTCTCCGTCATCCTTGTGTCTCCTCCTCCTCCTCATGTCCCCGTCCTCCCTGTCCTCCCCGTCTCTCATTCTCATCCTCCCCCCCGTCCTCCTCGTGTCTCCCCATCCTCCCTGTTCTCCTCCCTCGTCCTCCTCCTCCTCGTCCTCCTCGTCCTCCTCGTCCTCCTCGTCCTCCTCGTCCTCCCCGTCCGTCCCCGTGTCCCCTTGTCCCCGTGTCCCCGCAGACTGCCCGTGTCCTGGCTGCTCTTCTCTGCCGTCCACGGCTGGACCGTCCTGGACGTCAGCAGCTCTGGACTCGCCTGTTTCGTCTCGTTGTTTTTCTTGGCGCTCGTCTTTTTGATCATTTCTTTTGCTTCTTGTAAACTGAGGATGAGGAGGATGTCGGGCTTCGTCCTCGTGCTGCTTTACTGTCTCATGTTTCTACTGAGTGTGATGCTCAAACACCACGGGGTTTTCAGGTCGTACTGTCAGGACCTCAGCGCCTGACGCTCCCGTCCGCTCCCGTCTGTCTCCACTTTAAAACCTTTTTTATCATTCTGATCACTTCAAGAGTTTCCATAGAAACAGTTTAATTGAATTTGGCCAACGTCCTGTGCACATGAGGAACGGGATAAAGAACGAGTTCACATCAGGACGAGATTTTCAAAATAAAACACACAATAAAACACGTCCCTGGTTTGTGGAGGTTGGTCATAATAAAACATAATGAAGTAAAACTGTTGTGCACTCGGCTCTAATGTGAGTCACTTTAGTCACATTTTCTTTGTGTTTTGTCGTTCTTAATCAGATTTTCTGTATTTTACCCAAACAAATGTCAGTTTATGTTTCTCTTTACTGTCGCAGGATCAGATTGGTCCAAAATAGAGACACTGGGACATTTCTTGTATAAAACTGGGACAAATCAGTTGTTTTGTATAAATCTGTTGGGACAGAGACACAGACTCAAAACTGGGACTGTAAAGACGGTAAATAAAGACGTCTGGTCACTCTGATTTACACAAATGTCTCTGCTATAAATATAAAAGGTTAAAGTTCCCATGTGACGCTGTTCTCTCTGTTCTAATGTGAATGAAACAAAACACGACTGCAGGTCTATTTGTGACGAGGAAACCACATATTTATCACACAAACCCTCCCCGTTCCACTCTGCTCCACCTTGTGATGTCCACTGTGTGCTCCACTGTGTTTTTAAACTCCAACACAGCTTCACTAGAATCATCTGGAGTCGCCGATCTCGACTGAACTAAAGGGAAAAGGAGCAGAAAAACGACCACTTCATGACATCACAAGGGGGAGCAGAGCGTTTGGAGCTTTGGAGATGTAACAGAATAAAGATTTACTCAAACAAACACAACTCCAGCTCTGTTTTTAAGAAGGGAACATCATAAGAACATGACTTGAAGCTCACAGGGTCCAGTTTGTGTAACAGAACGACACTTGTCTCGTCTGTGAAACTGTTACGTTCAGACGACATGAAAACTGGGACTAGAACAAGACCAAAACTAATCTGTATCTGGACTAAATTAACCTCAAATCTCGAGTGACCAGTTGTCCCTGCAGATTTATACAAAACCACTGATTTGTTCCACAGTTTTATACAAGAAATGTCCCAGTGTCTCTATTTTGGACCCATCTGATCCTGCGACAGTAAAGAGAAACATAAACTGACATTTGTTTGGGTAAAATACAGAAAATCTGCTTAAAAACGACAAAACACAAAGAAAATGTGACTAAAGTGACTCACATTAGAGCCGAGTGCACAACAGTTTTACTATTTTACTATCACCAACCTCCACAAACCAGGGACGGGTTTTATTGTGTGTTTTATTTTGAAAATCCGCTCACTTTACTCACATCAGGCCCAAAGGAGGAAAAATGTGAACCTGCCTGTTGATTCTTTGCAGCTGATGTCATCAATTTTCTCGGGGGTGATTTTCTCTGAGTTTTATTTGAGCACAATCCAAGACCATAAAGACCATAAAGACCTGACTGACCTGACTGACCTGACTGACCTGACTCACCAGACTGAACAGGACCACGAGGCTCTGATCACACGAACAAACACCTGCTCTTTAAATCTATTCTGTAGATTATCTTTGGTTTTCAGACAATCTTAAAACTTTTCTGTGTCACGATGGAAACTGCTGAACATTCTGGCATAGACATGCATGTAGAACTCCCCCCGCACGACGTCAGCGCAAAGAATCAATACAAACTTAATGTAGCTTGTAAAATATGAAGTTTAAGCACAAATGGAACAGAAGCGTCGCTCGGAGACGGGGACGTGTGGAGAAAAAGTGAATTATCTGAAGTTTATTTGAAGATTCTCTGAAGATTCTTTTGTTTTTGTCGCTCGTTTGTTGTTTTTACATTTACAGAATTGTACAGAAACCTGGAACAGAACATTTAAATCAGTTTGATGCACTGTCTGTAATTACACGTGTTTTTGTATTTGTAGAGTTCTGATTTATTTTTGATAATGAAGTTTCCCTGTGCCCCGAAGTCTGATTTATGATGAAAAAATGTTTTTGTCCAGTAAAACAATGAATACAGTTTATTTTATTTAGTTTATTTAGAGAAAATACAAGAGTTTCCTTTATAATAAATGTCTTAAAGCGTCTGAGGCAGGTGGAACCACACGAGTCACTAAAACACTGTTTAAAAATATTATATTTAAGATTTTACTAAAAATGAAAAAAAAAAAAAGAAAAATGAAAAATACAATTCAAAATTTCAAATTCAGATTTTGTTGTAAATCATGACATCACACAGGGAACAGTGAGAGCGTCACATGCACATCAATAACCCGGTTATTCTCCATGTCCCGGTTCTGTCAGTGTTCGTGTTACTGTGTTTACATGAGCTCTGACAAACCTGGACACTCATATCCACGTGGACATGATCAAATGGAGTGTCCCGGTTTCTTCACATAATCTTACAAATGCACAAGAGCAAAAATGAACTTAAATCAATTTAATAAACCAGGAAAAATACAAACCGTGAGCTCCTTTAGCATAAGAAGCTAAGGAGCTACGAGATCTCCCACAATCCACTGTGCAGAATAAATAAACTCAACTTTACAACATATAAACCATAAACACTATAGACACATCAGCCCGTTTGATCAGATCATTCAGCTCTGATCACATTTGTTTATGTTTTACAGAAACGAAACTTAAGACCGTTTGGCTAATTAGCATAAACTGTTAGCGGCGATAAAAACAACTCGCTGCTTGTGTCGCTGATGTGGTTCAGTTTCTTTTGGACTAAATAACACGACTCTGTGGATTATGTGTGTTATTTCTGTGACAGAAGAGACGCTAATGATGGTAAATTAATATAAAAGTTAATATAATTCATGTTTTAGTTTTTCAGCGTTTTTCGCACGAGTGAGTGCGTCAGTCGCACGAGTGCAGGTCGCACGAGTGCAGTGCACGAGGTCGCACAGTGCAGTCGCACGACGAGTGCAGGTCGCACCACATGTGCAGGTCGCAGCTCTTTATTTTACAGTCATTTCACTCGTTTGGTCACTTTATTTATGTTGTCACTTTATTTATGTTGGTCAATTTATTTATGTCTCTACTGTTGTGGTGAAAGGCTGGAAAGTGTCTTTTGGACACATGTGACTCAACTTTATGTTGCAGTATTCGGGATACTGTGTTTACATGTCACAGTATCACAGTTACTATCAGAATAAACCAGCTACAGTAACTCAGTTTCTAATAACCGGGACACGGAAACCGGGTTACTGTGTTTACATGCACCATCAAGAAACCGGGACACTCAAAAAACCCGATCATAACCGGGTTATTGATGTGCATGTAAACACACTCACTGTTACCATGGCACGGTGGCTGAGTGTTTAGCACTCATGCCTCACAGCAAGAAGGTTCTGGGTTCGATTCCCGGGTCGCCTGGGCCTTTCTCTGGTGTGTGAGATGGTGGTGGTTGGAGGGACTGATGACGCCGAGTGGCATGGCAGCTTCTGTCAGTCTGCCCCAGGGCAGCTGTGGCTACAACAGTAGTTTACATCAGCAGGTACAGAGTGAATGAATAATACTGAATAATACTGAATAATACTGAATAATACTGAATAATGTTCTGTAAAGAGTCTTAGAAATAAAGACTTACTTACTTACCATAGCAACCATGTGGTTCACTGAGACAAAACTCCTCTAACGTCACAGAAATTATGATTTGACAAATAAAAATACAACACCTTTGTGTTGTCCAAATAAGTATATTAATAAAATATTGGGGAAAAAATTTCTTGTGTAAATGCCAAATGTTTGGACAAACTTCTCCCAGTGTGATGTCACCAGTGTTGGATTCTCGACTTCCTTCAACATATTTTTAAACTTTTCTTCACAAATTTCTTCTTGATTTGTGTAAAAGTATAATTTATATTTCAAACAGTTTTTATTTGTCCAGATTAAATCAGAGTTTGAGTTGAGTTGAGCCTTTCCCAGGCGCTTTAAACATTTAGAACATTTGAACATTTGAATGTAAAACTGACGACAGTTTATAAATGTCTACATGAACATGTTTGTTTCCTCTGTGTTGTGTGTAAATGATCGGCTGTTCTCTGTGTGTATAAAGTGTAACTGTGTCTAAAAGATGAACTGAGCCTCTATGATTTTAAAGTGAGAGTAGAACTATGGTTGTAATCCTCTTAGCCTCAGATCGGCTATTAGCCATTGTGCTGATCCAGAGTGAACGCTGCACTGTCCTACATACTGAGACCGACGAGCTCCACGCACAAGAAACATGCAGCGTTTTACCTCAGACACTAAAGGTGAGTCTCTGTGTCATTTATGTGTCATACTCAGGTTATTAACGTGTAATTAACATGTAATTAATAACTAATTGTATGTTTGTATTTATTGTGAGTGTGTTGACAGCTGAAGTGTCATGACTGCAGCGGGTTTGTGGGGTTTTACCTGAGCAGAGCTGCACTTGTCCACCTGCCCGTCTGCCCGTCTGCCCGTCTGCCCACCGGCTGTGTGTGTCTGCTCGTCTGCTGCTGTTGATATCTTCAGAGATGTTGTGCAGTCGTAGGAAGCGTCTTCAGGTCTCTCGTGTCCTCTTCTTGCTCTCGGGGGTGTGTCTCTGTGCCCTGTACCAGCTGACGGTCAGTGCCAGGCTCCAGGCGGGCGTCACTCTGCCCCAGACCGGCCTGGACTTTGGGCAGGGGTCAGCAGAGGGACCAGAGGAGAACCTGACAGAAGACGGTGTTTCACATGAGCCTGGACAGACTCCGAGCACAGCAGAGACAGAGACGTCCACAGAGACATTCACGTCCACACAGACCCCGCCTCCCCCTGCAGCTTCACCTCGTCCCTCTAATAAAACTCTCATCCACTGTGTATATTTGACCCCCCCGCCTCCTCCTGTGACCCCCACCCCGCTCCCCGCTCCTCCTGAAGCTCCGTCCAGCCCGTCTCCTCCAGGGGGCGCTCCTCACGCTCAGGGGGACTACCCGGAGGACCTGTTCAGTATCGAGGAGCGTCGGCGGGGCTGGGTGCTCCTCCACATCCTGGGCATGATGTACATGTTTGTGTCTCTGGCCATCGTCTGTGACGAGTTCTTCGTTCCTGCTCTGGGGGTGATCACAGATAAACTGGCCATCTCAGATGATGTGGCCGGAGCCACGTTCATGGCGGCCGGAGGGTCGGCTCCGGAGCTCTTCACGTCTCTGATCGGCGTCTTCATCGCTCACAGTAACGTGGGCATCGGAACCATCGTGGGCTCGGCCGTGTTCAACATCTTGTTCGTGATCGGGATGTGCGCTCTGTTTTCTCGTGAGATGCTCCACTTGACCTGGTGGCCGCTCTTCAGAGACGTGTCCTTCTACATCCTGGACCTGATCCTCCTCATCCTCTTCTTCCTGGACAACGTGATCCTGTGGTGGGAGAGTCTGATGCTGGTGGGCGGCTACTCTCTGTACGTGGTCTTCATGAAGTACAACGTGCAGATCGAGAGGTTTGTGAAGGGCCTCCTGCACAGACACAAGATGATTGTGAAGGTCATCGCTTTGGAGGAGCCGGAGAAGGTGAAAAACACTTTTGTATTTTGTTCTAATACAAACAGAACGAGGGAACAGGAGGCTCCTGTTCTCTGTGTTCATCTTCAGTTTGATAAAAACATGTTTGATAGAAAATTATTATTTATCAGCAGAGCAGAACTTCTCAAGCTGCAACAGACCAAATATGAAAGTTTTGTTCCAGGTGAACGGTGACGCTGTGGAGCCGGGACCCACGATTCTGGAGGACAAGAACCGCCTGAAGGTAAAGACGCCCACATGATGATGATCAGATGTAAACAGACGAATAATAAAAGGTTATGAAACAAACACAACTTTAACTGGAGCTTTCATTTCAAACGTCTCTTGTCCATGTCTCCTCAGTTGAAGCCGTCTCTTCAGCGTGGGGGGAGCTCTGCGTCTTTACACAACAGCACCATGAGGAACACCATCTTCCAGCTCATGATCCACACACTGGACCCTCTGGGAGACGGTAGGATCCTGTCCCTCTGTGTCCCTCTGTGTCCCTCTGTGTCCCTGTGTGTGACGTCTCAGTGTGTGTGACGTCTCAGTGTGTGACGTCTCAGTGTGTGACGTCTCAGTGTGTGACGTCTCAGTGTGTGACATGAGCCAGAGAGACGCCTCTGTCCTTGTGTCTCAGATTATCATGTGTCCCATTTGAGGCTCTAAGTCCAGATTGATCATAATCAGATCAGAAGCACCTCTGTCTCTGTCTCTGTCTCTCTGTCTCTGTGTCTCACTGAGCGTGTGCAGTTCGTGTTGTACAGAGACGTCACACTGGGGATGTTTTACATGTATGTGCATGATGAAATGTTCAGCAGTTACCATGGTGACACAGTACACACATTAGCACACACAGGCTGATACTGTTTTGGATGGTCGTGTTTAGGAGTTTGATTTTACACTAAAAGTTGAGAGTGACTGAAAAACTGTAAATGTTCTTTAGAGGGACGAGTTTAAGAGCTCAGGTCCTGTCACCGGTTGGAGTTTAAACTCAGGTCTTTATGGTCAGAATGTGTTAAAATAAAACTCAGACTAAAGTCTAACAGAGCATCAGACTTAGACCTTCCACTTCGCTGTTGAACTTAGACCTTAAAATTAAATTTAGATTTAGACTTTACTGATCCACAGGAGTCACACATCACAGTATATTACAATAACACAGAGTAAAAAATATAAAAAAATGTAATAAACTTTTAAATAAGTAGCAACAAAAAAATAGCAAGAGACTGGAGTCAATAAGATGAGTATGTAAAAATAGTAAAAAACAAATATTGTAATATAAATGCAAAATATCACAGTTATACACGAGTCATAAAGAAACAGGCTCATCTGTGACATAAACGTGAGTTATTGTTGTTCGTCTGTGGAGTGTGGGTTGAATATAGTCGTGTAGTGCCTGCAGTGCCTCCAGTTAGAATCACACACACAGAGGATGTTGATGATGTGAGCAGCAAAAGATCCATAATGATCTATGTGATGTTGTCTGTTATATTTATCTAAAAGGTCATGTCTTTACTGATTTAAACCTGTTTCTTTGTGTACGTGTTTGTCGTATTTATTTCTGTATTTCTTGTTTTTGAAGGTAAATTTAAGGATAAAGCAGAAACTCTGAACAGTGTGGCCAGCAAGAAAACAGAAGGAAAAACTCAGGACAAAAGAGACGGTAATTTAAAACAAATACAATTCTGCATTTCAAAGGTAAAAGATCTGAACTCTCCAGAGTGAAACTGAGGAAAAAGAAAAAACATTCAAAGTTTCTGTTTTGTCCAGAATAAAGTAGAATAGTCGAGTTTCATTGTTGACAAAAGCTGGGAAAAGTTGCATGCTGGGAATTATTTTGGTCGGCGGCAAGAAACACTAATTGAACATGAGGGACGGAGCGAGAAAACACGTAAAGGGTATTGATCCCGGTTATTTCTCCACTCTAACGGCAGAGGACCCAAGAACATTTGACCAGAAATTGGTCATAAACATCGACGGACGACAAATCACCCTTTTCAACCCCGACAGAGTCTGGACCAAACCAAATTTCTGGTCAGAATCTCCAACTCCCTGGACAAATATTCACTTGGGCGACATCCACAATGACTTGGTGGAAACTCCTGGGCCATTCACAGCAGAAAAGATGAAAACCTCCAAGAGTCTGGATGTGTTGTTGAACTTGTTGAGTCCACGGTTTGTTAGGATCTTCTACGTTTGCTCTGCGGATGTTTGAAAGTCGTTTAATTCACCGTTAGTGGTTCTTTTCACTCAGAATACGAAAAAGACATTTTCCTTCTTCTGTGCTTCTATTTGTGCGTCTGATAATGCAGCAGGAATTTACCATTATCAGGGAGAAATACACGAGGTTACACACTGTGTTTGACGCTACCGTGTTTCTTGCCTCCGACCAAAATATTTCCCAACAGCAACGCGGACTTTTAATAACAATGACGTCAGCTCAAACTCGCCTGTATTTGGGGCTCTAGTTGCTGAGTCGTGCAAAGGCCTCAGGCTTCATCCATCATAAGAAAAACACGTCCAGTCGTCATGAGTTTGTTTGAAATGAAATAGAAGAGTTTTGTATTTTCTGTTTAGTGCAGATCAGGATCGAGCAGCGACACTGACACAGTTACACAGTTTGACACAAGTGACTTTGCGGCACGGTGGCTGAGTGTTTAGCACTCAAGCCTCACAGCAAGAAGGTTCTGGGTTTGATCCCCGGGTTTTCTGTGTGGAGTTTGTGTTTCTCCTTGTGTCTGGATGAGTTTCCTCCGGTTTCCTCCATCAACACAAAACCTGCTCCAGGTCCATGAACAGTTGTTAGTCAAGGTCAGTTAAATACAATCGATTCAATCATTGTGTCCTTAGGCAAGACACTTCACCCACATTGCCGAGTATGAAAGTGGTGTGTGTGTGTGTGTGTGTGTGTGTGTGTGTGAGTGATTTGAATATTTTGGAATATTTATTTATTCGGACAGTAACACTTAGAACATACATTTAAAAAAACGTAAATACATAGATATAACACAAAAAGTAACTATTTCTATTCTATAATAACAGGCAAAATAAATGTTACGTCAGTCTGCCCCAGGGCAGCTGTGGCTACAATAGTAGTTTACCATCACCTGGTGTTGCGGCCAAATCCTACTAGACCGCTGAGAGTTGCAGGTAAGGAGAAAGTAAGTGACGCGCTCTCTTGTCTCTGGCGTCTGAGTAATCAAATCCAGTCTTAAGATAAAAATAGTCTTTATTGCTTCTTAATTGGCCAAAATTCATTATTATAAAAAGAATCTAAAATCGTACAAAGACGCCAAGCATGGAGGTCAACAAACTGTGTGCTTCACCAGATTGCAACACCTGTGGAGCACAGGAGGGGTCCTCCCTAATGTAGCCTACCACACGGCGCCCTCTACAGGTGACGCACACACAAGACACATGGCTCCAACACCTGGTATAGAGTGAATGAATAATGCTGAACAATGTTCTGTAAAGCGTCTTTGGGGACAGAAAATGTCTGAAAAGCGCGATATAAATAAAGACTTACTTACTTTGCAGTTTAGTGTGAACAGTCTGATAAATACACACAATAATTTCACTTTAAAGATCACTGAAGTATAATTGAATACAGAGGTTTATTTATTGAATGAATTTAGACCCTGTATCAAGGCCTCAACAAAAAGAAGGAGGTCAGAGATTGGATTTGAAAATAAAATATATTTATGAACTAAATCACAAAAAAACACACAAAACAGTTTGTGCCTTTGGCCTTTGCACGAAAACTTATTTTAGTCTCATGATGCAAAGACCGAGAACAGAAGATTTAGGCTCAATTTTCACGATATTTTTTCACAAATTTTGGACCAAACATAAAGTTACAGCATTCGGACTTTGTAAGGCAGAATTTTATGACGGAATCTGCCCTCGCCCATCGGTCTTTACATTTGATCGTTCTTTACATTTTGATCGTTCTTTTACATTTTGATCGTTCTTTTACATTTTGATCGTTCTTACATTTTGATCGTTCTTTACATTTTGATCGTTCTTTACATTTTGATCGTTCTTTTTACATTCTAGCTCGGTCCTTTAATCTTTACATTTTGATCGTTCTTTACATTTTGATCGTTCTTTACATTTTGTTCTTTGTACATTTGATCGTTCTTTACATTTTGATCGTTCTTTACATTTTGATCGTTCTTTACATTTTGGATCGTTCTTTTACATTTTTGAGTTTCATTTGACTTCTTTTACATTTTGATCGTTCTTTACATTTGAGTCAACATTCTAGTCTTTAATCTTTACATTTTGATCGTCTTTTAATTTGATGTTCTTTTACATTCTATGTCTTTAATCTTTCATTTTGATTTGTTCTTTTACATTTTGATCGTTCTTTACATTTTGATCGTTCTTTTACTTTATTTGATCGTTCTTTACATTTGATCGTTCTTTTACATTTTGATTTTTAATTTTATCGTTCTTTACATTTTGATGTTCTTTACATTTTGATGTTTTTATTTGATGTTCTTTTACATTTTGATCGTTCTTTTATCTTTACATTTTTGATGTTTTACATTTATTTGTCTTTACATTTTGATCGCTTTACATTTTGATTTGTTCTTTACATTTTGATCGTTCTTTACATTTTGATTTTGCTTTACTTTGATGTTCTTTACATTTTGAATCTTTACTTTTGTTCTTTTTACATTTGATCGTTCTTTACATTCTAGTCGGTCTTTAATCTTTACATTTTGATCGTTCTTTACATTTTGATCGTTTTTACATTTTGATGTTCTTTTACATTTTGATCGTTCTTTTACATTCGTTCTTTTCTTTACATTTGATCGTTCTTTTACATTTTGATCGTTCTTTTACATTTTGATCGTTCTTTACATTTTGATTTTGATCGTTCTTTTACATTTTGATCGTTCTTTTCATTTTTGTTCTTTTACATTTTGATCGTTCTTTACATTTTGATCGTTCTTTTACATTTTGATCGTTCTTTACATTTTGATCGTTCTTTACATTTTGATCGTTCTTTTACATTTTTGTTCTTTTATCGGTAATCTTTACATTTTGATCGTTCTTTACATTTTGATCGTTCTTTACATTTTGATCGTTCTTTCATTTTGATCGTTCATTTTGATCGTTCTTTACTTTCTGATCGTTCTTTACATTTTGATCGTTCTTTTACATTTTGATCGTTCTTTTACATTCTGATCGTTCTTTACATTTTGATCGTTCTTTTACATTCTGATCGTTCTTTACATTTTGATCGTTCTTTGTATTTTGATCAATCTTTACATTTTGGTTGTTCTTTACATTTTGATCGTTCTTTGTATTTTGATCGTTCTTTGTGTTTTGATCGTTCTTTGTGTTTTGATCGGTCTTTTACATTTTGATCGGTCTTTTATATTCTCTTCGGTCGTTACATTCTGGTCGTTCTTTAAACTCTGTGTGCTTCTTTTCTCAGACGTGGGTCCGAAGCCGGAGCAGAGCAAAGATCCGGACCCTCCTAAAGCTCCAGACTCCGAGAAGAAGGAGACGGAAGACACGAAGGTACTGACCCCACACGGACGGGCCCCGGGGGTTTACAGAAAGAGCAGGAGTCAGTCTTTGGTGCCGTTCTATGTAAGACTCAGACTCACACAGCGCCCTCTGCTGGTACAGCGCCCTCCACTGGTACTGTGGCCAACTGCAGCTGCATCAGGGCTCCCTGCTCCCGTCACACACACAGGATATTTTATCTGGATCAATTCACCGCTGATTCTGGATGAATCTTTTATTATTAGTCTGTCTACTGTCAGGTCGTGTCGTCGCTCGAGGGCAGCTGTCGTGTCGTTGTCAAAGTCTACGTTCAGACTGCAGGGTTTAACGCTCAATTCCGATTTTTTTGTGAAATCCGATGTTTTTTCGAGCTCGTTCACATTTCCAGTTAAATGCGACTTGTATTCGATCCGCTGTGTGAACGTTAAACGGTCCAAAAGTGTCCCACATGTGACACTGGAGACACGACGACGTCAACCGCAGTGAGCGTCTCTGTGTTTACACAAGTTGAACAAACATGGACGCAGCATCGAGCACCTGGAGATTTTAAAGTTCCTCTCGTACCGGAGCCACAACATGAACAACTGACTTGTTTTAAGGAGGAGATTGAGAAGGAGAAGGACCAGGTTTTTGGTGGTGGTGTTTTGTGGTGAGTGGAGATGTGCTTCACTTCAGTCACATGGATCATGAACAGTTTTCTCTACTTCAGTGCAGAATAGTGACGTTTGTGTCTTGTTGATGACGTGTAGGTGGATGAATGTGACCTGACTGTTCACACTCAAGTCACATGTTAAAGATCAGATATGGATCAGTTTCAGGAGCACAGATCCAAGTGTCCTGGTCACATGTGAAAAAATCGGATCTGTGTGGTTCAGACTGACATTAAAAGATCAGATACAGGAACATAGAGACAAAAAATCTGATTTGGGAACTTCAGGTGCAGTGTGAACGTAGCCATAGACTCGTGTTCCTGTGAGGCAGAAGTGACGTGTTGGAGCTACAGACCTTTGTTGTCAGATTAGCTGCAAGATTAAAGCAGTGTTGGGAGTAACATGTTATAAAAGTAACGAATTGCAGTAATGCATTTCTTTTTGCTGTAATGCAGTAATGTGGCGTTACAGGGGGAGAAATAGTAATATTTTACTTGGTACAAAAGTGAGTAACGTGCGTTACAATGTTTTTTTTAACCTGGATTGAAGTGGTGGGTTTTTCTTCATACAAATTCGCTAAAATCACCTCGATATCAGCAGCGGTGAAACGCCGGAGATGCGCCCTCATAGACCTTCACGGGCGAAAGGACCGACACAGAACTCCACGCTGTTTAGACCTGGTTTAGACCTGGGTCAGTTCTGGTTTAGACCTGGTTTACACTCGTCCCTCCCTCTATCGCAGTTCACTTTTCGCGGTCTCGCTGTTTCTCAGATTTTATTTATTTTTTTTTTGTGCAATTTTGCATGCCCTTTTTTTTTACATTGTATGAATGCGTATTGTGTTCCTCCCGCTGCGTCCTGATTGGCTGAGGGACTCCTGTCTCCTGTACAGTACAGAATGTGTTCAGCTGACAAATTTAAATACATGTTCAATCTGTATCAGTGTGATTCTGAAGTGTTGTACGGTTGCAAGTTTTCTCCCCGACGAAACCCACAACGTCGATGAAACGTTCTGCACCGACAAAGGCTCCTGCGCTCACTCCCAAAAAGGCAGAGGAAGATGAAACCATCACACAAGAAGTTGGACTTCTGGACATGTTGAAGGAAGGTAGAAGTTACGCGCTGTAGCAGAGTCTTGCACCGGGTCGGGTACCTGCAAATAGTTGCTGAAATCAGGGCCTGAGCCTGCGCAGCAGAGGGTCTGTAAAGAGCGATCGGGCGACAGCCGCTCTTACCTCCATGAGGTGCGGAGCAGAGCCGCTCCTTTCACCTCCGAGCCCGTCCCCACAGTGAGTCCTGTTTTAGTCCTAGTTCACTTCTGGTTTAGACCTGGTTCAGTCCTGGTTCAGTCCATATACAGTGCAAAAGTAATTTTGGTGAGAGTAACTTAAAGTAATGCAATGGTAATGTAAAGCCTTACATTTTAAATGCAGTAATATTGTAATGTAACAAATGACTTTGAAATGACAGTAATAGGTAATAAATAACACATTACAGTTTCAAAGTAACTTGCCCAACTGTGATTAAAAGTAACTTGATTTTTATTTGTGGATGTGGCTCGTGGGAGCTGCGGCGTCGGAGCAGGAGCCGTCGTCTTGCTCTTTTGTTCTTTTTTGTGATTGAAGTGAGTCGTCCGTCCCACGTCTGATGAATCCCAACGTTAACTTCCTCCCCACGGACTTTGAGCTGAGCTAATGAAATACACAGAACTATTAACACTAGGGGTGTGCAAAAATATCGGAATATCGATATATCGTATCGTTTAATGTGATGATGCAATATCGATATTGTGGGCTGCTGTATCGATATTTCACCAAGAGTATTTTTAGGTGTGTTTACTAAATTATTTTGTTACAGAGCCACAGTTTTGTTGCTTGTGGAGTGAAAGGAAACTCATTTATGCGACACATTTGACATTTTTACTGTTTTGATGATTAAAATGTTTGTGTTTCATATGAACTTTGCACAAGAAGTGATTTAACAAACACTTTTAGTGTCACAGCCACGATTTAGCCTTTATTTTTTATTGAACCGTATCGAATCGATTTGAAATATATCACATCGAATCGAAAGTGCACTGTATCGAGATATGTATCGTATCGTGGCCTGTGTATCGAGGTATGTATCATATCGGCAACGTCTTAATGATACCAGCCCTAGTCTAGAAGTAGGCTGTGACATTGTTAGTGTGGAGTAGGGGTGTGCAAAAATATAAAAATTTGACGCATCGTATCGTTTAATGTTATGATACGGTATCGATATCACGGGCTGCTGTATCGCTTTATCGCCAAGAGTATTTTTTGATATATTTTCACTACCTTATTTTTTATTGAACCATATCAAATGGATTTGACATATATGGTATCGAATTGAAAGTGCACTGCATGGAGGTATGTATCGTATCGGCAACTTCGTAATGATACTCAGCACTAATTAACACACACGTCCTCTCGGCTAAATTATGTGTGAAATAAATGTAGAACTTATTTAAAATAGGACCAGGCGTCTGACGTATCACGAGTAAACCTGTGTGAACTTTTACTCTTCTGGTTCTACTTTATTTAATTTTCTTGACCATCGCCAATCGTCTTGCCAAATGGAGTTTAAAAACACAGTTTATCACATGATGACATCACAAGGTAGAACAGAGTCTTTACAGTTTGAGAGAAAAACTCGTACTAAATGTGCAGGTTTGTGAGTTAAACGTGTGAATGAAACAAAACACAGCTCCAGTTTGTGTTTGTGACGAGGAAACGACGTTAGAACACAGAAGTGTGATATGGACCTTTAAATGAGCCGTGTGTTTAAATCAGTCGTACAAACAGTGTTGGGAAGGTGACTTTTAAAATGTAATCCCCTACAGATTACAGATTACATACCCCAAAATGTAGTTTGTAACGTAATCCATTAAATTACTTGAGTAACGTAATCTGAATACTTTGGATTGTTGGATGTTTTTTAAAACTACATAAATGTAACAACCACATCTTGAAAATTCTTGTTTGTTTTCTTCAAATTGTCTGTTCAGTCTCCATGAACAGACTTTTGTTTTACTGTAGAGAAGAAAAGACGATTAAATATTAACATGAGACATTTTATCTGCTAAAAGAGACAATAAAAAGTCCAGACTTTATTTAAACAGATTAAAAAAACTATTGATCGAGAAATGATTTTTATATGAAATCACTGCTGCTTTAAATTATGTTCACACTACTGTTAGTGTCATACTGTTTAGACCTGGTTTAGTTCTGGTTTTAGTCCTACTTTTAGACATGGTTTAGTCCTGGTTTTAGTCCTGGTTTAGTTCTGGTTTAGTCCAAAATGTGAAAACAGGAAAATCCCTCTGTGTAATCCATTTATTTCAACAAAGTAACTGTAATCCAATTACCACTCACTGAAACAGTAACTGTAACTGAATACAGTTACTCATAATTTGTACTCTGATTACATAACTCCGGTACATGTAATCTGTTACTCCCCAACACTGGGTACAAAAGTCTGTTTTGTTTACAGAGACTTAGTGTCCGTTCTGAAACTACGACACAAAGACGACCTCAGACCTCAGACCTCAGACCTCAGACCTCAGAGCTCAGAGCTCAGACCTCAGAGCTCAGAGCTCAGAGCTCAGAGCTCAGAGCTCAGAGCTCAGAGCTCACACCACAGAGTCCCAGTATCAGTGGAGGTGCCTGTTTGCCCCTCAGCTGTTCGCCCCCTGGAGGCTGATCTGAGCATTGCGCTGTGTCTCTGCTTTAGGACGACGTTCCTGCAGACGGCGGCTCCGAAGACTCTGATGACTCCAGCGACAGTGACGAGAGCGACGACAGTGACGAGAGTGAAGAGAGCGAGGAAGAGGAGGAGGAGGGAGAGGAGGAGGAGCCTCTGTCTTTAGAATGGCCCGACACCAGAAGGAAACAGGTCACGTACCTGCTCCTCCTGCCCATCGTGCTCCCGCTGTGGCTCACGGTGCCCGACGTCCGGAACCAGGTCAAAGAATCACAGAGGAAGAGTTTCATCAGAGTTAACGTTCTAATAATAATAACATCTTTTATTCTGCAGAAATCCAGAAAGTTCTTTGTGATGACGTTCCTCGGGTCCATCATTTGGATTGCCATTTTCTCCTACCTCATGGTGTGGTGGGCCCATCAGGTAAAACACAAGTACTGTGGTTTCTACAGAGTATAAGTTCCACTTTTGGAGGGAACCAACATTTCATGTATAAGGTGAAGTTGTAGTAAAAACAACAGAAGAGAGAAGAACAAACGTTAACGTCACATATTTGACTTCAGTTCTTCAGATAAACTATAAACAACAGAACAGAACAAGTTTAACAAACTCTTCATCTCACTCCAAATCACTAAATCACTTCAGTTCTTCATCCTCGTGTCACTTCTGAACAACTCGACCTCGACCTCCGGAGGGAAACAGAGCGACGCAAACTCTTCTGTGTCGCTGTTATGGAAGATAATTTGTTTCATCAGATTTTGAATTTTAAATGCTGTTGAATTTCTCATTTTGAATTTTTAAACTCTGAAAAAACATGTTTGAATTATTTTTATTATTTGCTGAAATTTTAAGTGTACATTTTCAAAGTGCATAAAATTCTGTATAAAAAAAAAATCACCTTTTAAATATTCAGCACAAATATTTTCAAATTCTCAAATTCAACAGTCAGAATTCAGAGTGTAAAGATCCAAGATGCCAAGGCGGAAGCAATCGATCCAAAGTGATCCGATCTAACTTAGTAACCAACAGGAAACAAACAGGAGGTGCAGTGAAGTGATCTGATTGGTCAGAATCAATCTCATCGTAACCGCATCTCATTGATTTGTGAAGTGTAAACCCCGCCCACAGATGAGAACAGCCAATAGGAAGCAGCCTCTGTCCTCCTCGCTCATATGATCGATTGCTTCTGCCTCGGCATCTTGGATTTTTGCTGTGTAATTTTTCACTGCAAATTTTACATTCTGAATTTCGACTGTTGAATTTGAGGGCTTGAAAATATCTGTGGTGAATTTTTTTATTTTGAATTTAAAACATAGTACACGCAAGTAAACTTCAAATTTCAGCAACTAAAATTCAGAATAAAAATAATTCAAACATCTTTTTTCAGAGTTAAAAAATTCAAAGTGAGAAATTTGGTGGTATTTAAAATTCAAAATCTGATGGAACAAATGATCTTCCATACGCTGTCGTCAGACTCAGCATCAGTTCCAGTTAGAATTATTGGGTCTTTCTGAATCCTGACAGGATGGTTTCGGTGTCGCTGAAGTCCAGACTTTGTCCATCCGTCCAGTGACTTCAGGAAAGTTTCATGGTGCTTCCTCCCGAATTTGTGTGTCATTTGTTCATTCATTTTTCAAAATAAAACCAAAAATACTATTTTCTTCATTATTTGTCTCCAAAACCAAAATTAAAAAACGGATAATGGATAATGATTCTGGGACTAGACCAGGACTGGTCTCGGCCTCAGTTCTGGTCTAGTCCCAGTCTCAATCTCAGTCCCAGTCTGGTCCTGGTCTGGTCCCAGTCTGGTCCTGGTCTCAGTCCTGATCACCCGACAGTCTCTGCAGGTGCACCTCGGAGCCCGTCCCAACACTTAGTCCTGGTTCAGTCCGTTATGTTTTTTTTTCCATTTTTCATTTAAACACAAAATCAAAAAACTGAAAAAACAAATCTTTATCTGTATTTTTATTTTGGTTTTGGAGAGAAATAATGAAGACAGTTGTTGTTTTTTCATTTTCTTATTTTTGGTTTTATTTTGAAAAAACAAATGAACAAATGACACACAGATTCTCCTGGTGTCACAAGTTTCTCTCTCGCTCCAAACTTTCTTTCTGCTGCTCCATTTCCGTTTTCGGCTGCAGATTTCATGACTTGCAGTTTGTAATCTGCAGAATCTGATTTTGTTTTTTGTGTTCATTTGTGTTCAGTCGTCTCATTCTTTGTCTTTATAAGTTTAAAGTTTAAATGTTAAATAGTTGAGTGGTGCAGAAGTAACGGTGCGATCGACTGACATGATACAGACAGGACAGAGGCTCTTTCTGCAGGAGACATGCGCAGTAGAGTGAAGTGACAGTGGTGCAGGAGGAACAGGAGCAGATCCTCACACACAAGACTAGAACCTCTCCACACTTCACCAAAAACATTTAATATAGAATCACACCGAGAATAAGTCACAGGAAACACACAAACCACCAACAAAAGTCACATTTAGAGTCTGAAAAATATGATACTAGTACTAGAATCATCACTGTAGTAACTTTATGACATTGTAATTCCGGGGTAATGCAGTTTATCTAATCAGACGTCACAGGCTCCAGACTCGTGTGTCACTCTCAACTTCAAAAGTTGAAAAGAACAAAAAGAGAAAAGCACAGACGTCTTCTGTGTCCACAAACGGCTCTTCCCTCTGCACGATTTCACAAACTAAACTGTCCACACTGACACTAAAACAGACTAAAGTGTGGCTGTTGGCGTCACCGTGTTTATTTTGGTTCTTTTGGGCTCTTCGGTTTTCCCCCTCGCCCAAACCTCAATCCAACATGGGTCCTGATGAGTTTGTGACATCAGAGCGTCGACTGTGTGAGGTTAAATCCCCAGGTTCAGATCCTCAGTGTGATGATAATAACGACACAAGCTGCTGAACCTCTGAGTTTATGGAACCTCCTCACAGAGTTTTCCCATTTTTTTTTTTCTCTTTGTGTTTGATTTATTTTGAGTAAAAGGTCGTCTCTTCGTTCTCTGTGGTCTGCAGGTGGGTGAGACGATCGGAATCTCAGAGGAGATCATGGGGCTCACCATCCTGGCAGCGGGCACCTCCATCCCCGACCTCATCACCAGCGTCATCGTGGCGAGGAAAGGTCTGGGCGACATGGCCGTGTCCAGCTCTGTGGGCAGCAACATCTTCGACATCACCGTGGGGTCAGTGGGCGACCAGAACTTTACTGAGATTAAAACAAACTGTGATTCTCATGGAAACACAAGACCAACCAACAATAACATAACGTACAATCAGATCAAATCATTTAAAATCAGAGACAAACTGAAAAACTGTTGAGTAATGTTCATGTCAGTGACTGTAATTGTAACGGTCAAGTGTTAACGGAGGAAACAGGGTCAGATTTTTGACATTCAAATGTCTCTTATTCAGAAACTAGAGGAACTATTGAAATAAGTAAAGTATCAGAATGTAGGAAAGAGTTACACTCCAACAGGGTCAAGTTAAACCTGTGAGATTCTTTCAAGTTGTTGACAAAAATTTAAAAAACTCATGTCAGTAACGGAGGGAATGAAATATGCAGCACTTTTTGGTCAATAAATCCAAACAGTGATAACTCTTGGTTCTCACTTCCATATCCTTAACAAACTGGTTTGAATATTTGCTTCATATAGTTTTCTACCATATGGTACAAGATTAGGTTGAAAAACCTCTGACTTTTTGACTCATGAGATTTTTTATTAAGAAAGTTCATGGTAACGGAGGGAAAAGTAACGGAGGGAAAATTGTACAAACAAGTAGAAGGTGCAGGATTTTACATCATTTGTGGCTTTTTTCTTCTGAATACTTTAATATTACTTCAAAATGAAAGAAACTATTTCTATAAAATATGTCAGTCCTTCCAAGAACATTTTTATCATTTTAAATACTTTTTTTTTTTAAAATCCTGTCCCTTCATCAACAGTTCAAAGATGGAATAACACAAGATATGATGAAATACAAACATTTATTTACATGATTTTTGGGTCTTTGAAATTTGGGAAATAATTTTTGTTCCATGTTTCATTCATGGTCTGTTTAAAACAGATGGAACTTTAGAACCAAAAATGGAACAGAAAAAAGGTGAACAGTTTGATAAACTCGAGTACATATGTATCTGTTCAATACACTTTTATATCAGATGAATTCAACTTGAACTTTTGGCCTTGTTGTTTACTTCTGCTTGACCAGGAACAGTTGTAGGTTTGACACACTTGTCCCCGAGGCACAAATCACCTGTTTTAGTTCCAACTACGTCAGCTCCTCCTGGTCAGTTTGGGTTTGATTGTGTTGAATTAAAGTTCAGATTGTAGCAAAGCCTCAGACAGCTCAGTGCCTGGAGTTAGCGCACACGGGGAGTGCAGGTGTTCAGATGTTCAGATGTTCAGATGTTCAGATGTTCAGATGTTCAGATGTTCAGACGTGTGAGGAGCTGCTTGGATCGTCTCTAAACTCGTTTCTCTGTGTTTTCAGGCTCCCGGTGCCGTGGCTCTTGTACTCGTCCTCTCACGGCTTCGCCCCAGTGGCCGTCAGCAGTAACGGACTCTTCTGCGCCATCGTGCTCCTCTTCCTCATGCTGCTCTTCGTCATCGTCTCCATCGCCTGCTGCAAGTGGAAGATGAACAAATTCCTGGGCTTCACCATGTTTCTGCTCTACTTCATCTTCCTGGTGCTCAGCGTCATGCTGGAGGACCGACTCATCATCTGCCCCGTGTCCATCTGAGACCCCGAGACCCCGAGGCCCAGAGACCCCGAGGACCTGACCACTATCTGAGGCCCCGAGCAATCAGGAGAGAGGACCAACTCATCATCTGCCCCGTGTCCATCTGAGAAGCTGAGGACCTGAGGATCTGACCACGGTCTGAGGCCCTGAGACCCCAAGACCCCGAGACCAGATAAGGACCCGACACCAATCTGAGGCCCTGAGCAATCAGGAGATAGGCCCACCTCATCATCTGCCCCATGTCCATCTGAGGCTCCGGGACCCTGAGGCCCTGAGATACCGAGACCCGGACCTCGGTCTGAGGCCCTGAGCAATCAGGAGAGAGGACCACCTCATCATCTGCCCCGTGTCCTTCTGAGGCTCTGAGCATCATCAACTGGGTTTTTAAAGGGACAGTCCAGAATTTTGTACACAGGACGTCATTTCCTCGTGGTTCAGAGTGTTGGAGACGTGTGGAGACACTTTTTTGAAATCTTCCGTCCAGTCGTTGTATTTGCAGAGGTCACTGGTGTTAGACTGGTGCATGTCAATGGTCATAGTTTATCCTGCCACTAAAAACAGACTCACCCACTCCACAAAACACCTGAAACAAATCTGTTATTACACCAGACTGTCCCTGTGAACGTCTGTGTCCAGAGAATAATGTTTGAAGTAAAACCAAACTTGCATTTGAAGGATTTCTGTGTGAGCAGCAGCAGTGAGTTGTTCTTCCTGATAAAAACTCCGCAGCGGTGGACTGATATATGAGAAAATAGTCCCTCAACGTGTGACGATTCACATGATGCAAGGTTAGTTTTATTTCAGACATTATTCACACAGACGTTCACATGGACAGTCTGGTGTAATAACAGATTTGTTTCAGGTGTTTTGTGAAGCGGGTAAAACTGTTTTTAGTGACACCAGTGACTCTGAAAATACAAGGACTGGATGGAATATTTCATAAAGTGTCTCCACACGTCTCCAACGCTCTGGACCACGAGGAAATGAGGCCCTATATACAAAATTCTGAACTGTCCTTTTAAGGTCAAAATCTTGTTTTTAATTCTGATTAAACCTTATTTTTATTTGCTCTTCTCATAAAACGGCCGCAGCTTTTGCCTCAGCGACATGTTGTCTCCATAGATCTGTACGTCCATGTTCTATCTGAGCCTCGTATAATCCAGGACTGGGCCTGACCGCTCACTACAGACACAGAGTTACCAACCACTGATGCCCACAGCCCCGCGCCGCCTCATAGAGATCGACTTTGTGCCCACGTCCTTTTAGTTCCAGCAGCAGCAGCCAAACAAACAGAAGTTGTTGATGGTTTTGGGCATCAGATTTGTCTTGATTTTGAGGCTTTGACGATGCTGAGGTCCTCACAAAACACTTCAAATCAGGAACAAATCATTTTTATGTTTTCCTGCACAATGTAAAGAGATTCTTTTAGAAGTTAAACACACAGATGGTTGTTGATGATCGTCTGAGCAGGTACACGTGTTCAAGACTTTACTGTGTGTTTTATAAATGTACATTTTTACAGACGTGGAAACACTTGATAAAAACTGCACTTTTAATCATCTTAAAAAAGAATCAACAAAGACTTAATTATGTAAGAACTCTTCATCTCAGTAACTAATATTAACACTCGAACTTTAAAGTCACTGAAGAACACGGAGTCTGAATACTTATGATTTAGTCTTTGTTTTTTCTTTATTCAAGTGATTAAAAGAGACAGTTTTATATAAAACTCTTCAATCTGTGTCGTTCGTTCATTCGTTTTTCAATATAAAACCAAAAAGAAAAAACAACATTCATTATTTGTCTCCAAAACCAAAATGAAAAAACAGAAAATGATTTGTTTTTTCAAGTTTTCTTTGGACTTTTGCGCTGTATACCGACTGAACCAGGACTGATCCAGGTCCGGGACCAGACCGAGACTGAGACCAGGCCAGGACCAAACCAGGACCAGAGCGGGACTGAGAGCGGGACCAGACCGGGACCAGACCGGGACCGGAGTGACTCCGAGCCCACAGCAGGCCCGGATCTTGAAGCTGAGGCTCAGACCCTGCGGAGGCTCAGAGTCAAAGCTCGGAGTCCACACTGGTCCTGGTCTGGTCCGCTCTGGTCCCAGTCTGGTCCTGGACCTGGATCAGTCCTGGTTCAATCCGTATTCGGTGACATCACAGTCACTGAAGTCATGTAAACGGGAAACGGTCGTTATCCGTTTTTTCCATTTTTCATTTAAACATAAAATCGAAAACTGAAAAAACGAATAATTTTCTGTTTTTTTCATTTTGGTTTTGGAGACAAATAATGAAGAAAACTAGTAGTTTTTGATTTTATATTGAAAAACAAAAAAACAAATGACACAGATTCTCTTCTGTCTGTTCATGTTCACAAATCTGAAACCTCGTAGAACGTGAGAATAAACGTCAAACAGGAGGAAATGGGTTTTATCTTTAATGAAAAACTCTTACAAATAATTCTTGGTGTTACAAGTGATAAATAATACTGCCAGTACAACAGATACTGTAAACATAGAGACATGGTGTTAGTCACAGAGTGGTCCACGCTCACTGAAGCCTCCAGCGTCTCCAGCGTCTCCAGCGTCAAGTCCAAAGTATCTCCAGTTACACACAAACCTGAATCAGAACAAGACCGCACACACCAGCACCAACACCAGGGTCCGAGTCCGGCCGGAGCGCGGGGGCCCGTCACATTTTCAGTGCAAAATACATGAAATATTGAATAAGAGGCTAAATGTTGCGTCGAAGTGCTGAGTGAAAAAACAAGTGCACAGACACAGAGACAGATGCAGACGTCCAGACTCCGAGGGGGAGACTCTGTACACACCTCGACAGCTTTAATAAAACATTTCTTTATCAAAATAGTGTCTCCTTTATTTAAAACCTTAAATACAGTTGGGGTTCTGTTGATTGTACGACGTCGTCAAAGGAAAATCTCCTCGTGGTCCCTTCGCGCGGCCAGTGTCACGTCGATTCCAACTCTCCGACTTACACATATTGCTTTCAGATGGAACAACTCAGTCAAAACATGAGAGTTTTTGAGGTTAAAGGGCCCAGATTATGATATTTTCTCATCTGTGTTCTAACCGTTCATCAAAAACAGACCCGGAGCCGTGGTTTGTTTCACTCGCACACGTTTTAACGCACAAAACCTGCACATTTCATCTTCCAGTTTCCAGTTAAAAGGAGCTGTTACAAGTAAACGGCTCCGGGTCTGGTTTTTGAGGAGGGAAAAGCGTTAAGACTTAAAGCGTCACAGGGTCGGTTTTGTGTGATACAGAAGCTTTAAAAACAGTTTGAGGCGTAAAAAGGATTCCTCTGTTTTCATATTTTCTACAGTCTGTGCTGCAGCTGCCTAAAGTCACTTCATCACGGGTCCAAACAAACAGAAAAAGTTAAAGCCCCATTCACACACACAGAGACACACACACATCACACACACAGAGACACACACACACACAATCACACAATCACACACACAGGTCCCAGAGAAATGCCGGCTGTTGTTCCCTTCACCGTATTTTTAAAGATTCACATTAGTAACGAGATGTAAACGCACAAACGTCGCATTTAAAAGCCTTCATTTGTACGAACGTTTGAATTTATTTGTATTTTAACGTAAGAGTTAAAGGGACAGTTCAGGTTTTTTGACGTGAATCTGTGTGTCGTCCCCGTCAGCAGCGTCACATCCACACTGACTTCACCTCCGACAGCGTCCGGTGAGTCCAGATCCTGGCCGGTTTTGGTGCTGAGGAAAGTAGTTCGGCAAGTTGTTCTGGGGACAGAATAATAAAGAGTTTTTCTTCTCAAAACAACATGTGTTCAAAAGAGTGACACATTTGCACCACAAAACCTCCGTCCTCTAAAAAGTCACACCTCATAATCACTATTTTCTCTCTGTACGTATCACTGCGCCGCCGCCAGGTGACAGCCGCAGTGTTTTCTTGTTCAGACCGGTGACGCTGCGACGCGAGAGGGTTAATGTCAGAGGTATATAAGCTTGTATAAGATACATAACTGAAAAAATGGTGCAAATTTGCAATTTTCCAGGCTGTAACAACAAAAATCTGTCTGAATCTCCGCACAAATTTCACCGTTTTCCTGTAAGGACGAATATTCGGGTTCAAAAAGATCTCCCATTGACTCTGTGCTAAAATCAGTTTCTTCATCATCGGTGTCGTAATCAGACATGTTGTCGTTAACCAGTGTTGGGGAGTAACAGATTACATGTACCAGAGTAATCAGAGTACAAATGATGAGTAACTGTATTCAGTTACAGTTACTGTTTCAGTGAGTGGTAATTGGATTACAGTTACTTTGCTGAAAGTAATTCGGTAATAACGGTAATTCCACTCATTCCCGGAAACTAAACCAGGTCTAAACTAGATCTAAACCAGGTCTAAACCAGGACTAAACCAGGACTAAAACAGGATTTAACAGGACTAAATCCTGCTGTGTGACGTGTTTCCTCGTTTTCGATCAATAATATCTTTAATACGATTAAGTAAAGTCTGGGCTTTTTATTTTCTTTTATC